CTCACCCAGGGATGAGCACTCTGCCAAGAAGTGGGATACAGTTTCAATAGAGCGCGAATTGCACAAAGAACAGATTCCTAATTCCCCTCTGATCCAAAAAGCTGAGTTTAAGTGCAAAACCTAACTTCTTAACTTAAATAGCCATCGCAACTCATTGAGACAAAGACCATCAAAATTAGCTTCATGTAGGTCGAACAATGCAGGAGAAATTTGTACCTCCTTGTAAAGTGAGAGATGCGTAGATGCTTGGACACGTAATTCTTCGTGATGTTGTTTTTTAATTTGATTGATTAAGGTGGCCATTCACGATCACTCCAAATGGAACCGCGCCAAGCCGTACAGCTCCATTNACCTCAATAATAAAATCTCGATTGGATGTCATTACAAATAAAGAATAAACGTTTTTGACTTGAGAATGTACGACGGAGATGTTTGCTTAGTGACAGAAAGAAGGAGACTGCGCCAAAAAAAAACGAGAGTTTTCCCATTCACGACCAGGCCACCGCGCCAAAATCCCCACCCTCCACGCCAGGTTTTCACATTCACGAACGCGCCATCCGTCGTCGCGCCGTAGATATTTAGAGTGGCGCGATGGAGTTTGGACCGGTCGAATATTCGGCACAGCCGGGCACGCCAGTTCAGTTTTGCCATTGACGTGGTTTTTGGAACGGCGTCGCTCCGTTTGGCCTGCTTGGAGCGATCGTGAATGGCCAAGAACTGAAAAATAATTATGCCAGTCACAGAGGTTGTCCAAGGATATGAGGAAGGGCAAGTTGTACTTTTCAAACAAATATTTCCAGTGTGCGAACCATGAAATATTCGTCTTTATTACCGCCAAAGACGTTATTAATAAATTATTATTTATTTATCTAATATCGGGAGACATCAGAACTTTCACAATATAGGAGTAGTACAGCCTAAGCGTATACACCCAAATTAAATCCATGTTTGTCTCTAAATATAATATATAGTTTGGTGTACCAGATGGCAATGTGAATAACTTTCTTACAAAAAAACGTTGCAGTTTTTCTATTGTTTCGAACCTCTGGTATCCCCACGTTTGACAGCCATAACACAGAATTACACGACTTATCTCCTTAAAAATATTAAAATTGACTTTAATAGGGATAGTTTCATTGAGTAAGAAGGCTGACCATGTGTTATTTAGACCTAATTTAGCCACTGACGCTTTCCAAGAGAAGTGCTTTGTCCAAGAGAGTCTCGGGGTAAATATGACTCCTAAATATTTGTATTCATTTACCATCTCGATGAGATTGCCCCTGAAAAAAAGCGATCCAGAGAACAACCTACCCCCTCTCCTAAACACTATTATTTTGGACTTCTCTAAATTAACTGTGAGGTTCCACTGTCCACAGTTGTCCAAATAGCTTGATATTTTTTTTTAAGCCAGTGGGACTGGCTTAGTAGTTTAGTACGAAGTACTGAAAGACAAGCAGCGGTAGTACCCGTCCGTTAAACCGAAGCCATTTGGGAGTAATTCTTGGAGAAAAAAGTATTAAAAAAACACGGTTTTTAGAGGTTTTTCTCATAGAAGGCTTTTGTGGACCCACGCCTATACGAACTTTTTTGTTCAGCATGAAATGTCCTATAAATTCCCAAAGTGCCTTAGTTTTGTTTGGGCCCACTGTGTATATAGGGTGTTCGGCTACGAACTTTGCCAGTAGATTCTACATATAGTTTCGGAGTTACTCCCCTTTTTTTTTACTTTTTCAGATTTCATGACCTTGCTTCAAATAAACAATGATAACTCCAAAACTAAACAATAACTCCAAAGCTTGGACAAATCCGTTGACACCATTGAAAACTACGTTAAATTTCCCATAAAATGTGATAAATACTAAATTTCTAAACATTGGTGAAATAAGCGTTTTAGTAGCCAGAACTTTGAATTTTTTTTTCAAAGTTGCAAAACTTACTATGATGATTCTAAACGACTACTTCCAAACCTAGACACCAGCAAATTTCAGAAAACGTACTCCATTTAATGTCCTTTCTAGGGGTGTAATTGGTACGGTATGGTTTGGTGAAAAAGGATACTAAGAGGCGGGGTTTGCATTCCCCAGGCACTCCAGCCTTCTGGCTTGTACCTTCCTAGTTCCTTAGTTCAGTGTAATAGACTCAATCCTTCTTCTTAGAAGTCATATTGACTGTCGCTGCTGCAATTTCATTCCCTAAGTTTTTTCCGTATGTTAGGTTAAATCTCCATTGAGCTGTTGCTTCGCATTCGAAGATGATATGAGTGGCTGTTTCCTCCTCCTCATGACATAATCTGCAAATGGGATCATCGTTGTATATGCCCATGTTGTGTAGATGTTTTCTCAGATGCCAGTGACTGGTTAGTAGTCCTACCATTCCTCTGAGTTTGGCCCTCTCCAAATGCAGCAGTGCTTTTGCCAGTCTTGGTGTGGGTTGTTTCATCATAAGTTTACTAAGTCTAGCACTACTTCTCCTTTTGTTTTGTTTGGATCCATTCTGCGATGGAGGACCAAGAATAGGTTCAGGGCCTATGTATGGTCTTGCAGATCCTCCTCTTGCCAGACTGTCTGCTTTCTCGTTACGCAAAATTCCCTTGTGCCCTGGCACCCAAGACATCAACAGGTTGTTGTGTTTCCCCAGGTTTTTGAGATTTTGGATGCATTCACTGACTAATTTTCATGTAATTCTTTTACATACTAATGCTTTAATGGCTACTTGGCTATCAGGTCTTACGAGGATTTTTTGTCAGTTAACCTCTTTTAAGAATTGCCAGGGCACACAAGCATTGATGGCATGTATTTCTGCTTGAAAGACCGAGGTATACTTCCCTAATGAGTTTGATTGCTCATGTTTTGGGTTTGTACAGAAAACGCCTAATCCGGTTCCTTCGTTTGTTTTGGAGCCATCTGTGTACCATATCAGTGTATCTGATGCTCTCCTATGTTCTCCTCTCCTTTATACTCTGTTGAGACTTTATAGGAAGTTGTGAAGATTGTTTTTGGGATCATATAATCAGCCCCCATTTCTAATAATGGGTGTCTGATTTTGTTGATTATGGTTGTATGCTCGAATTGTGCCCCTTTCCAATTTAATTGTTTCTGGAGCCTAAGTGAGCTTTTCCTAGCCTCTCCTTGTATGAATATTTCCAAAGGAGGTAGGTTTAGCTAAGTTTCTAAATTCATTTGTAGGGGTTGTTCTCATTGCCCCTATGATACCTAGGTTTGCTAGTCTTTGTATGCTGCCTAATGTTTGGGTAGCTACTTTGTGTTGAGCTTTGTTCCACCAGATTAGTGATCCTTAGGTTCTTCTGGGTCTTATTACTGCCGTGTATAGCCAATAGTCCTTCTTGTGGAGGGGTGTAATTTTTTTTTTTTTAATTACTTTTTCAAAAGTGAAGAAATTGATAAAGGAAAGGAAAAAACCATGGTTGATGGAATGGTAATTTAAAAAAAAAAAAACTAAAATCAAAGTTGCAGTCATATTGGTAAATAAGTAAATACTTGCACTATTTCGGTTTCGAACCGCAATTAAAAAACGTTTATACATTCATTCAAAATTTAGTTACTTTTTTTTTTAATTTTTAATCTTACCAATCTGTCAGCCACTGTTTTTTCCTTTCCTCCATCAATTTCTTCATCTTTAAAAAAGTAATTAAAAAAGCAATTACACCACTAAAAAGGATATTAAATGGGGTACGTTTTCTGAAATTTGCTGGTGTCTAAGTTTGGGAATAGTAGTTTAGAATCAGCAAAACAAATTATTTTTCAAAGTTCTGGCTACTAAAACGCTTATTTCACCAACATTTACAAGATTAATATTTATCGCATCTTATTGGAAATTTAACGTAGTTTTCAATGGTATCAACAGATTTGTCCAAAACATTTGTTTTGGAGTTATGATTGTTTAATGAATAAAGGCCGTGAAATCTTAAAAAATCAGAAAAAGGGGAATAACTCAGAAACTGTTGAGATTTGGATCATAGCTAATTGGGACATTTTGGTTCCATTTTGAATGTAGAATCTACTGGCAAAGTTTGTAACACAAGTAGCCTAACACCCGGTTTAGTTATAGAAGCTGGATATCTCGGGGAGAAAAACGGACAGTCAATCATTCGTCAGAATTGGCTTTTCTTCCGAATCAGCCGGCCGAATTGGGCCAGAAAAAAATTAATCTAGGTCTTCACATTTCGTAGCAAGGTTTAACTTTGTAAAATCCTTGATTAAATATATAATATATACATTAATAGAAATGTACAATTTCAATGAAAGTGTATATGTAGTTTGGTCATTTCTGATCAATTTTTATCTGCCTATTGACTGGGTGGGGGTCACTGAAAAAGACGAGAGCTGACGCCTTACAGACGAAACTGCTTAGGATAGTTCAAATCATACGAAATGATCAAACTACCCCATAATCCCTTTCAAGAATACTTACAATTTAAATTGTATGTGTGTATGCATACTGTAATAATTTAGTTTGTACAACTGACGATTCACTAGACTTCTACACCATCCCTTTACATGTGTGCTTTCATTATGATATTGGCCACTTGTCGTCTACTTGTTGGCATTTATATTTTTGTCAATCCTACATAAAACAGCACTAGCTTCTGTAAATTTCTTACCTCCTTTAATAATTTTTATTATTTTTACATGGGGTAAAATTTTGTATTTAAAAACTATCTACTAGTGATGCTGAACAATGTTACAAGGTGTTAAAGCTATTCACAACCTTATATTAGCCCTTGAGGGGTTGTGAACTAATTAAAGGGAATTCAAAGGGTGGAATGGAATGGGAGAGGGGAAAATAAACAGAACAAGCAACCTGTGAAAATAGGACTAACTGATTCAACATTTGTCCTACATTAAAGAATATTTTAATATTTAATTACTATTATTAATTGTATGTTATATTATTTATTATTATATTTTTTAATTTAATATTTTTTGTTTTTTAATTAAGTCATTTCTCAAGAGAATAAGCTCTTTATTTTCTGTTTGCAGGTGAAAATCTGGTTCCAAAACAGGAGGACAAAATGGAAAAAGCATGATTCTGTGAGTACAGCGCCGAGCTCAACTGGAAATTCCGAAAATGCTCCTGGAGGGAGCACCACAGGTGCGGAATCCTCAGAAGAATCTTGCCTGAGCGAAGACATCAAAGTTTCTGCTTCGCCTCCAAGGCCTTAGTCCTCTAGTCACGGTCAAATAATTGTTGTATATAATAAATATGTATATATGTGTGTATATATTGTTTGGTGTACATGATTCTCTGTATATAATATTAATACTATTATTTGACACAAAAAAAATTAAAAAAAAAAAAAAACGTGAAAGGCACCAGAGGCCCCGGTACGTCTGTTACCTTTTCTCATTCTGACACTTGGTGCCATTTGTTTTTATATAAAAACGTTTGTCTTTTAAGCATTCATGACACATAATTCCCAACTTATCAAATGCTGATAGATCGATGTCTTGTTTTTACTACAACATTCAAAAATTGATACATGTTACTGAAAATGTAAGAAATAATATAAACACAAATAAAACAGGCTCATCTTAAAAACATTATTATTTTATTTTTACATAATAGGAAGAGTATTAATATTCTTGTTTTTGTCAATAGATTGTTCAAACAAAGATGTAATACTTTTGTTGTAAATGATGTTCCTAGCCAAAATTTGTTTTCTTGGTCAAAAGTGTTTCCATTGTAATTCTATTACTTTAAAAAGTATATTCAAAGTATGCCATTTTCTATGGGCATAATTAACTGGTTGGTAATGCTTTTTTGAAAATATTTTAATTCATTATTGTTTAAAACAGGCCCAACAGCTTTGATTCTGTACATTTTATTTCAAGTACCTTGATTTTTATAGTTGTTATAGCGTTTTTGTTAATTTTTATTATTACTTTTTTTTATATTGTTACTCAGTGTTTGCATTTACATTTTGTTGCAAATGGAACAGTCACTTTTGTCAAAACCGGGGCATATTTTGATTTGAAACTATAAACTTTGTAAAAAGTAAAAGAGAAAACGATTACAGGAATAAATTGTGAACACAATAATGCCCGATTTAAATGGGGATGAAATAAGTGATTGTATATTTTGACTTTATAAAAAATTAATATATAAAAGAAAAAGGTTATTTGTAAATAACTGCCAAAAGAACCTCAAAGGTGTTTTATATTTGCGTACTAAAAATTTTCCATTTTACCCTTTTAAGAAAAATTATATTTTAAAATTATAAACAGAAAGATAATTAGGTATATTTTTACAAATCTGGCTTTGTTTAGACGAAAATTGACATGTTTAAACCAAAAGGTGCAAAAGGTAAGTTAACCTCAATTGTTTGAAACTCAATAATAAATATTATTTGGAAATTGTTTAAACTTGATTTCTGTTTTTATTTGGTTTCTTGCTCCTATGTAGATTTTGTTGCCGTTGATGGTTGAATGTTATTACTTTTTATTTTAAAATATGTCTAACACAGAAGGAAATTAAATAGACTTTCGATTAAGTTTTTTTAAAATCCATTAATGATCTACATTCCACATATTTTATAGTTACATTTTCTAAATAAACATCGAGCCATACTAAGAAAGTTGAACTTTTTTCCAAGTATAATTTCTGTTGTGGATTAACACTGTGTTCAATTTTGAAACATGTAATTCGCTTGTTGAGAATAGAAAAGAGTACAATCATTTGTTTTATTTTGCTTAATCACTTGCTCCTTGTACCAATTAATTCCCTTCAACATTTTTTTTAACTTTCTAGTCTAATTCATAAAAAATTAGAATTTATTTGTTTTGCAAATTATATCAATTAACTCATACAGCCGAAGTGTATTCATTGACATAATATTTTGTAGTAGTTTCCCCTAGCATTTTTATTTATTTTATAAATTGCATTAACATTTAGAAATTATTATATTTTTTCTGGAAGAAAATTTATTTAAGCGGTTTTGAAAAATAACAAAATAAAAGGTATATCTCTAACTTATAGCAAAACGAAATCGAGTAAACCTCATGTGGGTACCAAGGGCTTGAGCTGATTGAACGAAACAAAATAGCAAACAGGAGCAGCCTTCTCACCTTTTCGACCAGAACCCAAAATTGGCACGTCAAAAAGCATGGAGAAAGAAATGACCACACATTGGATCAATTTATCATCTGTAAAACAATCAAAGATCATCATCTCAGCCAGGGAAATAAAACTTTACCTCCACTAAAACAGGAATTCTAAAGCATTAAGTATAATACATCTTTTCAATCGCCATTGTTTTGCATCTTTCAATAGCCACCTCAAAAAAATGGTAAAAGTAGAAAATTGCCATCTCTGTTACACCAAAGCAGACATCAGAACATAGCCTTTATGTAAACCTGGAAACTGTACAGCCTCTTTGGAAAGTTGATACTAATACCTAGAAAAATTAGTAAAAAAGAACCCCAGAAAATGCTAAGACTGCAAACTCACTGCTACAATGAGAATCTCTGATAGACTTACTGGAGTTATGGGTCTATTAACCGGTTAGTGGCATCTGGGAAAACATGTACATAACATGGGCATATTCAACAATGATCTCATTTGTAGATTACGCAAAAAAAAAAACTTACAATGCAATTTATTATTACCTAATGTTCTAATAGGGTGAGTCATAAAAAATGACTGTTTTTCTTGCTAATTTAAAATTAATTTTATTTTGACACAATTTTAATAATATAATAATAATAAAGACACTTTATTTGTTATAATCCGATAATGTACAATTAAATTACAGCTACTAAAGAAGTACCATTACAGTATTGAAAATTCCGTCTGCCGGAAATGAATGAAAACAATAGGGTAACAAAAGTGCAAAATAATACAATGAATGTGAACTGAAAAAAAAAACTTCCAAAGAATTTAAATTAAAGAAAACGAAAAAACCATAAACTAAAAATGTGAATAAATAAAATAAGAGCAATAAGAAAGAAAGCAAATTAAATTATTAAAATTAAATTATACAAACACTAGACATTCATTTCATTGACAAAATCCAACAAGTGAAGTTGGCTCATAGGCTAATGGATAATAACACCCACACAGTCACTCTGATTTGCGTACTGTTTAGACAGAGACAGGAGAGGTCATGTACATAATATCAGTGGGTCTATGGATGTTTCTAAGTACAATGTACAGTTAGGGGTTGAAGAGGGTAGACCACAGAGCTTTTTGATAAAAAAAAAATCCCTCAGAAATTTTTTGATTAAGTCATACCGTTGATATCCCTGAACCTGGCATAAATCAACACAGATCTAGATACAGCATTAAATATGTTGAGTTTAGCATTCAGTGCAATATTATTATTTAACATAGGCCAGCCCAAATTCTATTATCTATTCTATCTATTAAATCCTAACTTAGCCGTAAATTATATCTGCTTTAAATGATAATGGAAGGAAAGATATGTGTCACTATAAACACCCGGGAGAAAAAGTAACTCTAAGGTATTTATAGAGTGGTTTACAATTTCAACAGGTAATCCCTTTTAGAAAAAACTGTCAGTGTGGGCATATCTGCTACCCTTTCTAAAAATGAGCACCTTAGATTTGGCAAGGTTAACAGTCAAATTTCATTTCTCACTATACCCTTGTAATTTTTTTATGCTCCTCTGTAAACCTACTCTTTTTTCCGCTAAGAACAACAAACCATCAGCATAAAGTAAAGCTTTAACTTTAGTGTTGTCAACTCGCACATCGCCTTCAGGTTCAGAGGGAAGTTCATCAAGGGAGAGAGAGAAAAGGGTGGGACTTAAAATACATCTCTGTCTAACCCCCTCAAGTTATAGGGAAAAAATCTGAAATTCCCTCCTTGACCCTAATAGCAGAAGCAGCATCTCTGAAAATGCTCATGAGGATGTTAATTACTTTGGACGAAACTCCCAAACTGAATAAATTATATATCAATGCATTTCAGTCCACACTGTCAAAAACAGCCTTAAAATCAATTTTTTTTAATTTAAACATTTTACATGAATCCTGTTGGAAAGTGTAAATAAATTATGAAGGGTGGAACCCAGATTGCTATTCACTTAATTGTTGTCATGTGTTTTAAACTAGATAGCGCACAATCCAATTCATCTGTGGAAAATGGTTGGTCTAACCTAAAAGCTTTTGATTCACTTTTTTTTTTTTTTGTAATATTCAAAGTATATACCGTTGTATTCAATGGTTTGTTGCCATCTCAAGACCACTTGGATTCCTTCACAATACCACTCTTTGAATGGAAGAATTCTGCAAGTCTTATTTTGAACCTCAACCAAGGAATTAAAAGTTTTCCCTTGAAGATAATGAGACAAACTAGAACAGATAGAGTTGGAAGGTGCTACTATAATGTGAAACTACTCACAATCAAATTTTGAATGAATGGTTCAACCTTTTAGTATGAACTCATTATGAATTATGCCTTCGTAATTCCAAAATACAATTGTCTTTTTGTCAAATTGCTCTTGTTTGGTGATTAGTAGAGCAGGCTGAGTGCAATCTAGCCATTGTTTCTTGGTCTTGGGGTTTCTCAGATAAATTTCCTTTTAATCGCAAGTAACTATTTTTTTGATGAACCGAAGGTTATTTGGGATTTTCGAAAGATGTTGACAAATTTCTACTCTGTCATGCCTGCTCAATTGTCAACTCATGAAGAACCACTCTTAACGAGTGATTCACTTTCCCCAAGTTTTGCAGTCCACGACTTTTTGCTGGGTCTGCCTCAACAGAGTCCTGCAGAGCTTCCTCATTGAATGATGATTTTTGTCCAAAACCCTCTTTCCTATTGAGGCTGATGTCACCAGCTTCAAATTTCTGGAACCATCTGCCCTCTGTCCGTTCAGAGAGAGCATCCTCTTCTTCAAATTCAAATGAGTTGTTTGGGCAGCTGAGAACTTACATTTTTAATAAGGGCGTTATATTACCAAAATTTCAAATTTTACCGTCATGTTTTTAATCAAACTCTAAGAGAAAACTGAAGGCAAGACAAGATCATTTTTTTACTCATTTAGTACAGTCTGCGGATTAAAGTAGTATCAAATCTAATTGGATTTGAAAAACAAATAAAACCTATAGGGGGATTACAATTTCCAAGAAAATGAAATCGATCATTTGTTATGACTCACCATATCAATAATACCAAAACCTAGAGTAGGTTAGCTTGGTCATTGGTGTAAGGTGGCTAGAGCTTTTTACAAAAATGTCCATCAAATTCAGGTTCTTTATTTGCCTCCATAAATGGGGGCTTCTTATTTATATTTGCTGGATTCAGTTTTCCTTAGACTTAGAGTAGAAACCTTTCCTTGTCAGGCCTTTACAGTAATAAATAATATTAGCTTTGATTTTCTCCTTGTTAAAACCTACAAACTCTATCTTCTGCCACTCCCAATATTTTCATGTGCCTATTGATCTGTCAATGTCCAGTCAACAGACCTGCAATAATCCTGAGTTTTTTCTGTCTTTGCTACATCTGTAAAGTTTATGTGAAACCCTTTTGACAGTCTTCGTCTTCGTCCTGGGGTGTTTGTTCATATGAGTATTTAACGACCTTTTGGCAAGCTCCTTTTTTATGGCAGTATCAATATTTACAGTAGGGTTCTGGTCCTACTGGTTGCTACTCCATGACTAGTCTAACAGCATATTTATCGCCCTTCAACGCAGGGGACCTATGCAAGGGGAAATTTTGACCAGCAATTGTTTTATAACTTGATATATTCACGTTACAAAATAATAAAAGTTACAAAAGAGATTCCGTAAAAAAAGCTCACTTAGAGCAAGAATACAAAACTTAATAATCATAACTGTATAGATACGATAAATTATATAGGAGCCAGTCTCTTAAGACTTGTGCACTCCGACCAGTATTGGTCTATTGTGCAACTCCATTTTTTTAAATCTAGAGCTCGTTAAGCTTGAGGCTTTTTACCCGACACCCAAGCTTTTTCAAGGGCTCCCGTGTATATCCTTCAGACCCTGGCTGTTCTCTTGCAGGATTAGGAACCTCAGACTACATAGGCCTTTGCACCAACTGAGGACGTGTTCCGTTGTTTCTTCTCCTTCTTGGCAATATCTGCACAGTTTGTTTCTGCCACCCCAAGTCTACACATATGGGTCTACAGGGTTAGCAGTCCAACTATTCTAGTCCTAGCATGGCCTAGATTTAATAGTTCTGCCATTAATTTCTGCGATGGTTCTTTGATAAGTTTTTCGCATGCCTCCGTCCCAGGCTACATTCCCATTGAGCAGAGGACTTATATTAATTCATTGTCTAATGGATCCACGTTTTTGGCAGTTTGGTAAGCCACAAAAGGGTTCAAGGCCAAAAGATGTCCTCATTGAACTTTCCTTGGATAATTTATCAGTCTCTTCGTTGCCCCTCTGCCATTGGAACAAGAACAAGTATATTTTATTGTAAGTGCAGAGAATGCTGGCAGTCAACCAATATAAGTCTCAAGTTTAGAAATAATTTATTTGTATTACTTTTCTAAATGCAGCCAAAGAAATCGGCTGTAAAAAATAAATACACTTTATTATTAAAAACTTTTTTATTTATTTATGTATATATATAAATATATTTATGTACACCACTTCATTCTTTAAAATATCCAGTCCAACAAAAAACTGCAAGTTATATACTTACTCAGATTTTTGAATATTTATTACAAGTACAGAGTTTTTTGCTTCTTTTATTCTTGACCATCTTCCCAATCTATGCTCCTGTCCTATGCCAGCAATCAAATATTTTTGATCTGATGAAAAAACAAGTGAGTTTACAAATCCGACAATCGGTATTGTTGTCAGGACTGAAGCTCCCTTGTAGTTGTCATCGCATCTCCAAATCTGAATTTGGCCGTTTGAAGACCCCGAAGCGAAAATCTCTGTGTTTGGGATGCATCCGACTGCTGTGATCCAATAAGGCTCTTTGGACATCTCATTCATCCCGTGAGCCGGATTTTTTGTTAAGAGCGCTTTTTTCTTTAGTACACTCCACAGGCATAACGAGCCTTCATCACCACATGTGACAAAGTGTCGGTCGTCAAGGCGGCGTACAGAGTCGATACTCCGACCGTGGCCATTGAATATGAGTTGGGACTCCTCCTGTATCTTCCAAACACGGACAGTACCGTCGACGCCTCCGCTCGTGACAGCACGGTCTTTGCTCAGCACGTCCAGATCTGTAATCGGATTCTGATGTCCGAAAAGAGTCTCGACGTAAGCCCTCTCCAAAACATTCCACACTTTGACTGTACGATCACGGGAGCTACTGTACAATGTATTTGTGTGCCGACAAAACGCAAGCCCTGTCACACCCGCTCTGTGACCTTTGAACGAAAACAAATGAGCGAGCGACTGCGCATCCCACATTTGTATAACTGGATTTTCATCAGCAGAAGCGAGGTATTTATTATCATGAGAAACGGCCAAGCTGAGGATAGTAGTACTATGGAGGTTTTCGTTGTGTTTACTTTTGTGCTTAGGAGGGATAGTGGAAACTTTTTTCATTTCGGCCAATGACCACTTGACTATCGAAGAGTCTTTAGAACCTGTGAAAATATGAAAATCGTTCGACACCGCCACACACGTTATAGATAGTTTGTGCTCCTTACATTTCAAGACATTTATATCACAATCGTTATACTCAGTTTTGATTTTATCGAAGACCTTCCTCCTCAGCCTACCGGCTTGGCTCAGAACATCCTCCTTCAATCTGTCCAGAATAACGTCCCCTCCTACTTCATCGAGATCTTGTTTCGCCTTCTCTTCTTCTTCGATCTCTTTGAGATATTTTTTCGCCAGTTTCAACTTCTTCTCCTGAGGCGTTAGAAACTCTTCTTCGTCGGTTTCCACCCGTTCATTGTGGACGTAAGCGTCGTCTTCTTCGCTCGAGATCTCCTCGTCTTGAAAGTCCGCTTTCAGCTTCGACAGCCTCTTCTTCTTCGCCGCCTGGTCGAAATGAACCATCCCCTTTCCTTTTCTCTTCTTTTCTTTACCCCCTTTGGGTTTAGACCTTATAAAAAAATTCGAAGACATCGCGCACAACTAAAACAAACAACAACAAACAGAACTAAAGCGAAACGTTAAACCATCATCAACACGTGGGTCACGATACCGTCCGTGAAACCTCCACACGTTTTCCACAATGTGATAGAGCGTCGCATAGACGACCACGACGTCTCAGAGCTCGTTGACTCCATGTGACGTCACACTAAGGACTGATTTCACCATTTTGGACATGAAACTGGTTGTTTGCTCATATTTTGGGGACCTAAAATAGGTTTGGTGGTAAAAATAAAATATTTATTTCCTAATTATATATATTTGTATATATAAGAATATATTTTTATTAATCTGTTCCCTTTATTGATTACAGATATAATACAATAATTAATTTCTATTACATAATTGATAGTATATTTTAACTAATATTTCATTTTGTTCAATTTTATTGTTCAGATGGCCTCATATTCGAATTTAATTACAAAATATCAATAAATTTAATCACTAAGTTGGATTCAATTACTTATTACAATATAGAAAAATAAATAACTAGATAGTGGGTGCTTATCACACTGTTTTCAGTTATGACAATTTAATAAAAAACAAAAAATAATCAAAAACAAATAAAAATGTAAATAAAACTTTTTTGTCCCCTTTAATACTGAGTATTTCCACCTCTGATATGAATCACGTCTGTTAGACGCCTTTGCATTCCTTGGAAAAGATTTCTGATAAAATCCTGAGGAATTCTTTCCCTTTCACCAAAAACAGCCATTTCATATTTTTCTAGGGTGTTAAGAGCTGGATTTCGCCATTAAATTGATCCCAAATGTGTTATATTGGGTTCAAAACTTCAAGCTGACCACACGAAACACTCAATTCCAACCTCAGGTATTCGTCCTCAATGCTTGCTCTAAGGGGTCTGGCATTATTCTGCATTAGCAAGAATATCTCACCGATGTGGGGGGGGGGAAATGCATTTCCTTTGAATACCTGAAGTTAGAGATCATCTCGCACAACAACCAATTTGGTGTGGGCGCCCAAGGTAATGCCACCACAGAACATCTATGACCCACTGTGAAATGTCACTTGTTCCTCAGTGTACAGCAAGGGTTGTACCTTTCTTCTTAATATCTCTATATGAAATTACGCCCATGAGAACAGTTGAGGCCAACTCTCCCCTCATCTGTAAAGAGAACATTTCTCCAATTTTCCAATATCCAATTCACATGTTCTCGTGTGAATTGAAGGCTGGTCATTTTCTGATCTGTGGTTAGAAGAGGTCGACGAGCTGGGTGCCAGGCTGTGAGATTATTTTAACTGAACCATTCTTATGAAAATTGAAACATTTTGGACTTGTCTTATCAGATTTCCTATCTCATTTCCCATAATGCTGCTGTTTTATAGAGCCTGGTGACGATGAATCTATTGTCTCTCTGGTCTATAGACCTAGATCAACCCTACCTTGGGCTTCTAGTGTGAAGCCGTGTTTCTCTGTAGCACTGAAGAATCCTTCCTATTTGTCAAAACTGATTTCAAAATGATGGAGTTCCACCAAAAAAGTACACTGAACCCTGACAAAATTGTAACTACGATAGATACACTTAAAATACTCATAAAGACAGAACAACTTCAATTAAATTTTACCAATGGGTTATAAACATAATAAAATGGTAATAAATAAAGATGAAAACTTACTTTATTATTAAATAAAATCAAGCTACGGCCACATGATTCATCAGTTGAATGTAGTAACATAAATACAGATATGTAAGTGCTGAAATAATTAAAGCAAACTTGATCAATTTAACCCACAAAAATTTAAATATTCTACATACAATTAGATCTATTGATTGGGAAATTACAGTTCTATTTAGCACATACATCTTCTCCTAGTGTCCTTTTCTAAAGTAAGGGTAAAGGGAACTGCAAGGTTTTAATGTGGGTTTATTGATAGAACTGTTTGGCATAATCTGTTAAGTTGATCTCTGTAAAGCATCTAATTACAGCTACTATCAGGACATCTGCATATCATCGGCAATTAAAATCCTCATCAGACAGCAGGTTGAGTAGATCATCTATCACCATTACCCACAGTGGCAGTAACAGAATGACACCCTGAGTGCAGCCTCTGGTTGTTCTCACTCAGGGAGGTTATAATAGCCTTTTTTTGGTCTTATGAATTTAGAAATCCCCTTTCTTAATAGCGTTTTGGGTCAACATAATAATCTCATTGTTGACAACCCCTTCCTCAAGGCTACTCCTTGTCATTCAATAATTTAGATAGTAGCTTGTTTAAATCATCTACTTCTAGGTCTGAACTTTTCCGTCTGATATGCGTGTTACCTTGAGTTGAAAGGATTAGTTTTGTTTTAGTCTATGTTTAGATTATTTTATAAAGATGAGTGAATTTCCAATTTGAATCTAGAATTTCAGTTGTGAAATTGTTGTACAGGGTGATGAACATGTGATTTGGCCATAACTGGAATTTCGATCTGCTTCCCTTTGCTGGTTCAATCTGTCAAATACTATTCGGCATTTCACCATCTTCACAATGTGGGATTTTTGCTTAATTGTACACAACACACCACTCAACATAACTACTATTCATTCCTATCATATTTCTTATCATAAAGTGTAAAAAAAATATTCACCAGGAAGGAAGTATTATTTATTCTTGTCCTGACATTTAGTAATTTTTTTTCTTATTAAGTGAAGTTGGGTAACAACCCAAGCTGAAGTACTTTTATAACTTCAAATCATTAATTTTTTGAATTTTTAGTTAATGAGCAGGGTTTAAATTGTTACTGAAGTGTGTCTTTTTGCATTTTAATGCAGTCTTATACTGAAAATTTTCAACTGTCAAATTTTTGTAGTGGGATAAATCAAATATATTGAGTACTTCTAATTGAGTTTGTTTGATAATTTCAAGTGAACACAGGTGGCCTCTTGTTCAGTTTATCAATGGATTGCAAAAGTCTAACTCTCTTAATATGTGTATCTTGCTTATTGTGCGGTGAGAATTATTTCCTTTATTATTTTGATTTATAACATATTCATAAATCACCTGAAATATTTAATAGCTTATTTAATTAAATTTTGATTTAATACACAATTATATAGTGTATTCGGCTACTTGTGTTACAAACTTTGCCAATAGATTCTACATTCAAATACTAACCATAAAGTTCCAATTAACTATGGTCCGAATCAAGTCAACAATTTTGGAGTTATTCCCCTTTTTCTGATTTTTTAAGATTTCACGATCTTGCTTCAAATAAACTATGGAAACTACAAAACTAAAAGATTTTCGACAAATCTGTTGATTCAATTGAAAACAACATTAAATTTCTAATATGATGTGATCAATACTAAACTTGTAAATGTTGGTGAAATAAGTGTTTTAGTAGCCAGAACTTTGATAAATATTTTTTTTTTCAAAGTTGACAAACTTACTTTGGCAATTCTAAACTACCAAACCCAGAGACCAGGAAATTTCAGAATAAGCACTCCATTTAATACGCTTTTTAGTGGTTTTAGTGGTGGAACTGCTTTTACTTTTTTCAAAGATGAAGAAATTGATGAAGGAAAAGAAAAACTGTGGTTGACGGATTGGTAAGGTGGAAAGATTTATTTAAAAAAGAAAAAATGAATGAATTTATTAAACTTTTTTAATTTGGGTTTGAAACCACAACAGTGCAAATGTTTACTTATATGCAACTTTGATTTGTAGGGCCTTTTCAGGATTGGATCGGATAAAAAAAACCGTAGACTTTTTCGTTTTAAACATACCCTCTTTATTCTTCATACATAAGCACTTACAATCTGACGTCACCGAAGCGCAACATTCAAAATTTATTCTCCTACAGATTAAAGGATTATTCCCCGGAATAAATTAGTTTTAAGTTTCAAAATGTTTTTAGTTCATTCATTTGAAATTTCCTTAAGTTTTTTTAATTTTTATTATTATTAATCTTTCCACATTACCAACATTACCAAGTCAACCAAGGTGTTTTTCCTATGTATATTTATCTTGGTTCATCTGCAAATGATTCACAGTGAATTTTGTCGTTTAAATGTAAAGGATAAATAGAATTGGTCCCAGAACTGATCTTTGCGGAACTCCACTAAGTACTTGATGAGCACGTGATCAACCTTGATTTTAAAAATCCTCTCAGAGTGGTACGATTGCAAGAAATTGAAGAAAATGTCATAGATACTAAGTCTCTCCAGTTTGTAAATTAAAAGTCTGTGAGATCCATGATCAAACACCTTGGAAAAATCAAGGCAGATGGGATGAGTTGGAATGTTTGAGTCCAAGTTTTTTGACCAGAGGTTGACATTTTGTCATCACCTGTTATATGATTTTTTTTACCAATATTTATATTTTAGCAGAAGAACTTTACAAAAGTTGAGGTTAAACCTGGGCAATTATTAAAATGAACAATTTTTTAAAAATTATATTTATATTTGTTTGCTGTTTATTTTATAACGTTATTATTTGAATTTAGGTTATGTAACACATATTGTGGCATGAAATTTTATTTTTTAACAAAATGTACCATCAGACACACTATTGGGAAGGATAGACAATTGTAAATTAATACTGAAGAAGATTTTTGTCATGAGGTTGAAAACGCTTTGTTAAAAAATAAACTTCCATGCTGCAGTATATGTTCAATAACCTACAATACAAATAATAAAACTCAGAGTGGAACTCCGACCAGAGTGGATCGAAGTCACGATAGCGGTTAGTGGTTATAGCAGTGGAATATATAGCTGAAGATCATGAGTTTGAATCCTGCTTGTGACACTAACTTTTTCATCTTGACCAAGACCTTACATAAATAGTATAATTAATAAAATGTACAATTTTTAATCATGACAAATTACATTTTAAAAATAGGTTTTCACTAGATTTTTTGTTTTTATTATTTCTCTCAATAATATTCAGTAAGCAAACAAGATGGAGGAGAATGTCAGGAGGATGCAGATTGTGAGATTGAGTTTGCTGCATGTATCAACACAACATGCATTTGTCCAGTAGATTTTGTGCCAAACAATGTCTACACGAAATGCTTGAAAGGTAATAATTGAGATTAAGTTTAAAACAGAAATTATAAGCAATGAACTAGTTGTTCACAGTTATGGCGAAAACTGCATTGATAGCGTTCAATGTTCGACAAGCCTTAAGTCAGGTGGCACATGTCTGAACGGAACCTGTACTTGTCAAGTCGGTTATCACTATCTCAGGGGAAAATGTTGGAAATCTCTTGGTAAATGGTCAGAACCTTGTAATAAAAAAAAACTATAATATGATTTTTATAGGTTTAGGAGATAAATGTAAACACAGTGATAATTGCTGGGTTAGTAATGATTTTGAGTCATCTGTGTGCAATAAAGATCACGTTTGCACTTGTGCCACAGGTTATTATCAAAGAGAACACACTTCATGCCGCAGAGAAAGTCACAGTAAGTTTTTCATCGTTTCATTCCTTTGAGAGGGGATTACATTTTCTCATGTTAGAACCAGGAGAACCTTGTGGTATATCACTCGATTGTAAATTTGATAACGCTGTTTGCACAATGAACAGAACCTGTGAAATAAACACCAATGTCACTCTGAGTAGTTTCATAGCACCTGCAAATGAGAAGATCATCCCACCTCAGACGTTATCATTGGCAGGTAATAAGTAGAATATTGTATAAATAAATTATATAGTTAAACAGATTAAAAAAATTTCAAGTGGGTGATAATTGCACATCCAGTACTGACTGTCCTGAGCATGCCAGTTGCACGCCAAATGGGATTTGCCTCTGTAACATGGGTTTTTACACACTCGATCAGACATGCCATCCAGGTAAAGTCAAGGAATAAATTAATTAAACTTAAAAATAAAATATGGTACCAACAGTCAATATACAATATCATAATTTCGCTAACTTCTTCCAAAATTTTAAATCTACCAGTAAACATTTGTTTTTTAAATATTTCAAATTATTTATTATTCGTTTACAACAACAAACTCTTGAAAAAACAGAATGTACATTAATGTAATGCCAATAAAATATTTTTCAGAACTAGGTGCTAAATGCAGTTCTGATTCTGACTGCATTGGTAAAAATACCATGTGCCGAGAAGAAAAATATTGCACATGCAAGCAAGGATTTGTTGTGTCAAAGGATGGGAGATATTGTGATAAATGTATGTACATGTTTAATTAATCACCGCTTACAAACATTAAATTGGAATCGACTTAATCATTAATGCATATCTATAACATTGCCTGTTTTATCGTCTGTAATTTGGGCTGTGTGCTCGTCCTGGAGTAATAAAATAAGTCTTAAAATAACAAATTATAGACCACGCGATGATTCGCTGATATAACATGTTCATAGAAAGTAGTAGCTGATTTTTAAAAGAGAGATCTTTCACAAAGAGTTCGATGCCAAATTAATGCTAGGAGTATGAGAACTATTTATGTAACGTAAAGATCGAAAATATTGGATTGTCCGGAAAATAATACAGGGAGGACTAATTATGTAATATAAAGATCAAAAATATTGGGTTGTCCGGAAAATAATGCATGTTTTCACGTTTTCTTTCAATTACCCCTCTATATAAAAACTGTTTACTTTTATATGAATGCCAATATTTTATAATCCTCTTCCAAACAAAATTGCTAATGTTTTACAAAAATGCTCATTAGCATTTCGTTACTTGTGATTAATTCAGTCTTTACTATGATTTTCCCGCAATTTCGTGTTATGAGTGTAAACTCGGTCAGAACGGTGCTCAAACGGTCAGAAACATCAATGAAGGGCGATGGCAGTGTGAGTGAGAGCACCATTCAAAGATGGTTTAAAAATTTCAAAAGGGAGACTTTAACATTGAAGACAAAGAAGGTCCTGGAAGGAGTTGTTCCCTGGATGATGATGTTCTGCGAGCTTTGGTCGAAGAAAATCCCAGTTCGAGAACTTGCAGAGAATCTTTCAGATAGCAAATCAACCGTTGTTGACCACTTTAAAGGCCATTGGAAAGGTGAAAAAGCTTGAAAGTTGGGTTCCTCATGTATTAAACCACCATAAATAAAATCATTGGCGACGCAGTGCACTGTATAGCGAAAAAAGAAATAAACGAAGTAAAAAGAAAAATTGTTAAAGAAAAAATCACCTCACCTTCTCGACCTCGACTCCCACGATCACGTGGACTTTTTTTCTAACCTTAGACCCCTAAGGCTAGAGAATTTGAATTTATTTAGTACCTGATCCCGTAGTGATTTCAGGTATTCATATCCATATACAATTATTATTTACAATTAGTTTAATGCAATTTTACTAACAAAATTAATTAAGGTTTCAATGTGGTCTTTAATGAAAATGTGATGGTCTGGTGGCCATTGTCCACCTTTACATACAACGTCCCTTATTAGAGCTTTTCGATGTGGTTCTTGAATGGGGCAGTCGAATAAGATGTGGTCCCATGTTTGTTGAGGTCTCCCTGGACAGTCGCATTCCTAATCCTGTGTTATGTGGAATCTACAGAGATATTCTCGAGTTCGTCCATGGCCGCTTATAAGTTGGGTAAGCATATGGTGGTGTTTCAGTTCTACTGCCATCCTTGATTCTACCGTTGGGAAGAACATTTTAGTTTGAAGATTTTTAGTAGTACGCCTCCAACGTTCTTCTCTTTGGGCCAATGTCATTTTCGAGGTCATAGAGATGACGTAGCTTTTCGGCACTAATGTGACTGTTGTTTCGAGTTCAGCGTTTTCCGTGGTGTCCTTTGCTGCTGTGTCGGCTTCCTCATTACCTTGGATCCCTGTGTGCGCTGGTACCTTTTCAATACTGATCTTCCAGCCATTATCAATGGCAATGATTTTATCATTTTTCTGATGTCGGATACGATCAGGCTTCCTGCTTTGTAATTTTTAATCTTATCAATGGATATGTGGCTGTCTGTCATCATCACTATCGCGTTTGTTCACTTCCTCAACATCCTGCCTGCGAGCCATTGAAGAGCCTTCAGGATAGCAACGAGTTCAGGTTGGTTGTTCGAGCACCAGCTAGCCAGTCTAATTTGTATTATTTCTTGCAGGGTGTTGTCTTTTCCATAGATGACTAGGGCTGCTCCAACCTCATTATTCATTTTGCTCCCATCGGTGTAAATTATGATCTTGTGTTTGCCATGATATTGACTCTGTTAGTCCTTGAGTTCTGTAAGCCGGATGGGGCCATTCATTTAAAGGCAGTGTGGGTTCCACGATAAATGCAGGGAGGGCTTTGTTATTGGATGATCTTTTTATGGTGAAGTAGATATCCCGTGGACTATTGGAATACGATGCAGGGAGGGGATGTTCAGGAAAGATTCAGCAATTTTGATGGAAATTCGATAGGATGGAAAACCCTTACCTTTCTCCTCGGACACGACACCTCGGTGATTCTTGGACGATGCACCTGTTGAGTCGACTACTCCCGTTAACAACGAGCAACCACAATGCGAACGAATTGACGGCAAACGAAAAAACGAAACTGCAACGAAAAAGCGACATCAAAAGACGAACTTCGAGTAACAGCCGAGACGGGTTTTTCCATCACTCCATCAGTTGTTTATGCCGCTATCCTTCTGGCGTTATGAAATTTGCCCAACACTGCCTAAACAGAAACCTTTTCCGGATAGTTACTTGTGATGAAAAATGGATTTTCTTCGATAATCAGCAGACGTTCTGGACAGCGGTTCGTCAAACGAGAAGCAGCACCACGTATTCCAAACCTCAACTCATAAAAAAAAGATGATAGTGACTTTTTGGTGGGTTGATTTAATACAGCTTCTTGAATCCTGGCGAAACCATCAATGCCGAAATGTATTGCTCTCAAATTGAAGCAATGCACCAGAAATTAGCATTACAGAAGCCATCGTTAATCAATGGGAAAAGGCCGATTCTGTGAGGACAACTTTCACCCTCTCACGTTCAGTCTCACAAGTGACAACACGAAAACTGTTAGATGTTGGATCTTGGTAATGTGATTCTGCCTTACCCTCCCTATTCTCCAGGCATCTCGCCTACGAGTCTACAACTACCAAGCAGACGCCCGGTCAACGTTTTACAATGCCAAGGAAAAATGGCAAAAAGAGGGAAAATTCGAACGGTTGTAGGTTGAGATGGGAAGTTGGTGTCCGAGAGGATTGAAGTCACGATAGCTCAAGTGGTAGAGCATCGGCGTATTTAGCCGAAGGTCGTGGGTTCGAATCCCGCTCGTGACACTGACATTTTTATCTCAGCCAATACCTTACTTAAAGATTAATTTATTGAAAGACATTATTTGGTCGATCGGACTACGAAATATAATGGATTTAAAAAGTTAAATGAAGTATACCTTCACTAAAGCTCTCCGTGGCCATTTCATTTGTCGCCGTGAATCACATAGATTACACGACATTCGAAATATGGCAAAAAGGGGGAAAAATTCGAAAGGTTGGGTTGAGATGGGAAGTTGGTGTCCGATTGGATCGAAGTCACGATAGCTCAAATGGTTAGAGCAGCGGCGTATTGAGCCGAAGGTCGTGGGTTCGAATCCCGCTCGCGACATTAACATTTTTTATTTCAACCAATGCCTTACATAAAGATTAATTAATTGAAAAGAATATATTTGCTCAATCGGACCATGAAACCTAATCGTTTTACAATATAAAAACATTATTTATTAATCAAGAGTCGTTAGAAAATGCGTTTACAGAATTTGTTAATAATAAAGGCTCAGAATTATATTCAGAGTTTAAAGAGAAGTTACCATCACGTTGGGAGAAGTGTATTGATAGTGATGGAGGTTAGATATATAATAAAAAATGTGTGGTGTTTAATGACTGTTAGTTAATGATTATTTGGAGATAGTGAGATACGGTCTGGTATGAAGTAGGTTTTAGAAAAAAATTTCTTTCGCGTGCCAACGTTTCGATCTACATTGAGATCATCTTCAGCGCCTGGGGTTTATAAACATTGTTTAAATTTTAAAATACATGTAGGATGTGAAAAAAAATGAATTTATATAATGATAGAAATTTTAGATTCAATCAAAGTATTTGTACTCCCTCAAAGTGTTTGTTTTCTGTGTAGATGTCAGCATCAATTACAGAACAGCCACATGTAAACTCAGACGCAGCTACGCTAATACCATTAATCAAATTCAAATCGATAACATACATCACACAAAACATATAATATAACATGTAAAACAATCATCACATTCCACACATCAAACATTTCTACATAGTCTAATTCTTCAACAATTTAAATATCTCCGTCTGTCCCGAAAGGATAATCAGGCCGAACTATTACCCATTTTTCCCATTGTCGGCTCCTTTCACCTCAAAGCAGCCGACTCCTCATATAAAAAATGTTTTTCTATCCCGACTTCCTTCCCCACCCATTCAAAATCCAACGTATATATACATAAACATCAATATCCCACTGGCACTCCCAACACGACTCACAAGAATAAACACTTTGAGTGAGTACAAATACTTTGATTGAGTCTAAAATTTCTAGCATTGTATAAATTCATTTTATTTCACATCCTACATGTATGTGTAAAATTTAAACAATGTTTATAAATCCCAGGCCCTGAAGATGATCCCAATAAAGATCGAAACGTTGGCACGATAAAGAAAATGTTTTTCTAAAACCTACAGCACAACAGACCGCATCTCACAATCTCCAAATAATAATAAAAAAATAATGTTTAAAATCATTTTTTTAATTGTTTTTATTTTATAACCATAAACCTGCATAATTTTCCGGACAACCCAATATATTGTAATCAATTATTTAAGTATCACGATACATCGGTTGGAGCTGTTTGAGAGACGAGCAGTGCAGCTTGTTTGGACCTAATAGCATTTGCCTCAACAAAAAGTGCGCATGTAACAATGAGTCTCGCTTCGTGGAAGATCAAATGTTCTGCTGGATTACCAAAAGTAAAATTTCTGTATTACATTATGACTATTTTTTTTAAATTAACAATTATTTATATTATTAGAAACAGGTGAGGCTTGTACTGATGATAAAGATTGTGGAAGTGGCAATGTGACCTGCCCCGGCGGAAAATGCGCTTGTATGCCGGGCAATCATCCTTCCTCGGGGAAAAATTCGTGTCGGACGGATTCAGTCAATTTTGGAGAACCTTGTGTTGAATCCTTAGACTGCGTTTTCCCTAATGCAATTTGCAATATGACGTCTAAAAATTGTATCTGCAAAGAAGGCTACATACGTGACGGAACAAAATGCAAACCAGGTATAAAATAGGGAAATGGGAAAGAGCAGGTGATTTAGTTACTATAATCTTACACTTAATTAGAATTTTTATTATTAATTGCAATTTTATTCTTATCGAATTATATACACCTTAATTATATACACCTTCTACTCCAACCAGTCTTGATAGGCTATTTTTTAAGTTTTTAAGTACATATGTAATACCAAATGATGATTTTCTCGAGTTCCACGAATGTGACCAAAAAATGTAATGCAGGAAATGGCGGAGAATGCCTGAAAGAAACGGACTGCACTGTCGCCAGGAGCATATGTGTCGATTCAACTTGTAAATGTGAGGAGGGGTACATTTCGAATTTGTCTTTTGACTCCTGCATGCCTTTAACTAAAAAGTACGGAGGACAATGCGAATCTACAGTACAATGCTCAGAAGTATTGAATCTGCCTTTTCAAAGACGTACGAAACGCTTAGTAAGAGGGTGTATTTATGCTTAGTTGAACGCTGATTGTGTGGAGAACAAATGCAAATGCAGACCCGGAATGCATTACGCCGAAAGTTGGAAATGCTACGTGAATGTGAACGTCGGTGAGAGCTGTACACACGAAGGGCAGTGCCCACCAGAGCATTCTCATTGTTTGAAGGGTTTCTGCGTTTGTGATAGGAAGTACCATGTAATATATGATGGAAACCGAACTTTCTGCTCTGGTGAGTTTTAATTATATTTTTTTGACAGTTTATTAAGATATTTTCAATCTTTTTATAATTTCAGGAGCTCCTGCTTTGTTTTATTCAACAAAGGTTCAACTTTCTCTGATTTCGTGTTTGTTGTATATTTTTATACGATTGTGATTTACTTGTAAAACGTCTACAATCTGTAGAATTTTTATTTAAAACCATTATCTTTTTATATTCTCATTTGTTTTTAATCCTTATTCTCAGCTGTGTATTTGAGCTAAAATAATGTCTTCTATAGTAAAAATGAAGTGTAATCATTTTATGTGTGTCAGTGTGAACAGCCGCAACAGTGAATAAATACATCCTTACGTATACAGCCTTTCAAACCGTACGGACATATACAAAATTTGGGGTGCACCTGGGTATGAGCAAGAAATTCAATTAACGTTTAGAAAAGTTAGAAATGAACCTTTTTAGTCACCCCAATACTAACAGTAAGTACTTAAATAAAGGCGAAATAAAAAAATAAATGAAAATAAGTATGAATCGAATTTATTGATTGGGTTTCATTATAAAGTACAAATAAGTTAAAACTGATGAGATACCAGGAATTGGGGACGTTACAGGCAGTCTCAGGTTGCTAGCAACTGGAAAACTGAATGTGTTTCGTTTTGTGTTCCATCTTCGAGAAGCCAAGTAGAGAGCTTCGTGCGTACAGTGACCTCTTTCTTCCCGGATCGTTCACCAGCAGACATTCAAGTAGGCGTATAGTTGTTCGATTACTTCCCTCGAAGAAGGCATATTGCTCAGAAAATTTTCAGAGAACACTCTCAAATCGACTCCGTGATCGTCCTCGTTTTTTAATATGTTCATGGCCTCGAGAGCCGCGAGTCGGATAGAGATGACATTGCTGTAAAACACCTCCACCAGGTTCTTGATAGAGTGTTCTTCGGGGCCTTTGGCATGCCTGATGCAGAACTGGTTCAGCTTCCTCGCGTTCTCCGTCTCGGCCGGGTTGACGAGGGATAGGACGTCCAATTCGCCGTCGATGATCTCCTGGAGGTCAGCCGCATTCATTTCGATGTCCGAGATGCGGTGCATGATCCGGGCTTCTCTCACGTCCCGACGCTGACTTTCGAATATCGTCGCAAAATAAAAACCGCTCGCTCCGAAAAGCGCCCCGGCGCTGAAAATGGCCAGTTTCTGCATCATTCCCAATATTCAATTTAACTTTGGCATGGCTCTATGAGGCCGGTGTTCGAATGTTGACGGTTTTTGAGAATTTCAATCCTGAATAGTTTACAATCGCGCTTGTACGCGCCTCACCCCTAGCCGAATAAGCAAGGCGGTAATCTAATTCAGTCAGCTGACATTGAACTATTACAGCTATTAATATATAACAAAATATATGACGAAGGTACGATTGAGTGTTTACGTACATAATACACTGACAGGCAAAAAATTCCACCCACTTGTAATACAACTTGATTTGTATATCTTTTTATATATTAATTCACGTTTTCTAAGACTCAAATAATTGAGTCTTTGACTAAAGAAGTTTAAAAAAAAGTAAAATGGCGAAAGAAAGTGAAAAAAAAGATAGACAAATAAAATTTGTCTTACATTTTTAATTAACATTTCAATATCGCCTACTTCCTCCTCTTGCCTTAATTACATCTCGAAGAACATCAAGTATACTTTCTACCAGTCTGGAAATGACTCTTTGCTGGAGGTTATCCCATTCTTCACGACGAGTCCTTTCAAAATCGTGGACTGTATCATGAAGTGATGGACATGCTCTTATTCGTTTTTTGTGGTCATCCCATAAATGTTCGATGGAGTTCAAGTCTGGAGAACGGGCTGGTCAGGTTAACACCCTGAAGTTATGCTGTTGAAGGTACGTTTGTGGACATGTGGACGGGCATTATCGTGCATTTGTCTAGAATTGTTGATGATTTCAACTAGGATAGGCAACGTATGATGTTCCAAAATTTCATCCTCATAGCCAGTGACCGTCAAAGATCCTCCACGAACAACAGCCAACTCTGTGCGACTCTCCATTCAAATGCCTGCCCACACCAACACTGAGCTACGTTGAAAAGGTTGGCACTGGGGAAAATTGCAGCAATTTCGTACCTTCCATTTCGCCTTCTTCGCACTCTTTCACGCTCATCTGGAGATCATAGAGTAAATCTACACCTATCTGTAAAAGGTACAGCAGACCAATTGACCAAAGATCAATAGCTGTTCTCGAACTTATGCGAGCCGTGAAACACTGTGTTTTGGTCAATTATGGTCCTCTTACGGGCGAAAAGCCGTCAGTCCACAATGATTTAATCTTCTTCGAGCAGTGGGCTCAGAAATTTGTTCACCTCGAACTTCCTGGAGCTGTTGATTCGCTTGAACAACAAGTAAGGTGCCAGTTTCACAAAAGTCTTAAAGTAAAAAAACGGTCATCCTGTGGTTCTGTTACCCTAGGGCGTACAGAACCGAACTTCGACGGTAGGACCCAGTTTCTTAGTAAACATTAAAAAATCCTTTATCCTTGTTTTCAATTAAGGATTTAGAGAAGTTTATCTCTAATTGATATTCCCAATTAAAAACATAGCATAAACAAATATTTATTGGTAAAAACAATGAGACAACTTCAGGGCTGAATTTTCTTTTATCGAGAAAATGAAGAAAAGTCTTGGGTGTAATGTTTTGCCTGTCAGTGCATGTATACCTACATACGTAATAGGATATGCTTGTAAGGTGGTCGAGAAGTGAGTTGTAACAAAAACGGCAGTCAGGTATAATACGTTTAATTATGTTAATGATCAAGAAACAGGCTGATACGGTACAAATATACAAGTTCTTTTATTTTTGAAATTTTATTTTAAAATAGAAATAGAAATCTAGATTAAGAAAACTAACATCCACTATTGATAAATTGTATCAATCTTAAATAGCTATATGCAGTAGCATCGACATGAATAACTTAATACTGAAAATGTGGACCATCTAGAAATGTCAAATATATAAATGTAAAAGACGTCCGGATCATCCCAATTTCCGTTCGTTCCATCGTAAAGAATCATTTGAGTGCTCGGCTACATTTGTTTTAAAATATATCTGCAATGAACGAGTCAAAAGACGTTATTTACACGATCTCAATGCACTGAATCTACAAACAGCATGCTAAAGAATCGAATCCATAGGAACTGTACATTATCTTTTGATACGTATTCTCCATATTATAGTTGTTTCCTCTCGGACCGGACTGAAATATTTGTTCCTTTTAGCATTTTATTATACAAACACGTGTAGAAAGGTGTGAATTAATGCTTCCTATGAATGTACGTTATATGTATTATGATTAAATTATGGTTCGATGTTTTGCCTGAGCGAGGTCACATCAGTACTGACGGCCTCCTAAAAGAATCGAAAGTAACCCAAAAGCAAGCGCGACACTCCACGTTTGTGTATGCAGTTCACTCCCTGAAACAAAAAACAAAACAAAAACACTATAATTATTTTAAAAATAATATAAGCTAGTTTTAAGCTACTGGAGCATTTGGAATTGGTTCATATGCGAATCACTCATAGAAACAAGTTTCAATTTTCTATTTTTAAGTAAATACACATTTTAAAAAAGTTCTGAACAATAATAACAATTGAATCTATACAAAGATGTCATTTTATTAATTGTAATTGTTTCAAGAAATTGTTTATACATACAACCCCGGGGTACCGGTTTATTGAAAAAACATTATAAATATGTCGGTTCGAATGCAGGGTCACTGGATATGAACCCCGGACCTTTAGCTTACAGTGATGAGCGCCGTGTCAACGCCTAAACCGTTGAGGCCACCGACGCTTCTTTAATTGTATTACTTATAACTTTATTTATAATGTATTGTATTTTTATTTTACGTTTTGATTTAAAAAAAAATCTTATCAAAAACATATAAATAACATAAGATGACTATACATGACTCCAGCTCCCCCTTCCCTTTTGAAGGCTGGCCCAAAAAGGCCTTTTTTAAAATTACATTTATTTGATACTTACAACTATATATTGTATTGATTAAATCTGTTCATACATCCATTATATTTCGTGGTCCGATTGACCAAATAACTTTTTTCAGTTAATTAAGGCATTGGTTGAAATGAAAAAGGTTGAAAAATGGCAAAAAGGAGGGAAAATTCGAAAGGTAGGTTTAGATGGGGAATTCCGAGTGGATCGAAGTCACGATAGCTCGAGTGGTTAGTGCAGCAGCGTATTGAGCCGAAGATCGTGGGTCGAATCCCCAATTAACTTTTTCATTTCAACCAATGCCTTGCATAAAGATTAATTAATTGAAAGATGTTCATATATGTTGAATTGGCCATGTTGAGTCTATTGTAGGATAAATTGCCCAGTGGCAACATTCTTTTACGCTTAAATATTTTCAATCTTCACTCAATGAGAAGGTCTCGCGTCCACTTTTGCTTCAATCGTCTTGGAGAATTTTCAGGTGGGTTGGAAGTGATAAATGTCGTACTAATAGATTATTGTGTGTGTACAGTGATTGAAGAAATTTTTACACCGGTTTTCGGTGAGTTCATGTACAAATGGGAAGTGCAGGTCGTTATGAATAGTGTAATTTGAAACATAAAAAGGAGCATTTATTATTATTTACGTTAGTATCCCTGTATAGAATTTTGAAACTGTAACTTTGTATATATTTAAATAAACACTTTATTATTATTTACGGAGAAATTTAGACTGAAATGATTGGAGACGTTGGGATTGGGAATCCTTGGTTGATGTCTTATCATTGTCTTATGAAGCAAAAGTTTGTTTTCAATGTCTAATTTTGATCGTGAGTCAAATAGTCTTTTTAATAAATTATAACGTCGGTTTGTTTGTTGTTTTTTCAGTCTTGTGTCCATTCCAAGTCAGTCGTTTATCCATGAAAAGTTCAGGATAATGCATAAGGTCAGTGGTAGGCAATGGTGTTCCATTTATCCACTGCAGGACAGATATTTTTATATAAGGTAAGCATTTCGTTTTGTTTATCTTCATTCTCAACTTTGTGAACTATATTATTAATTCGTTCAGTTGTTGTTGAGTGTTAATTGAGGAATCCGAATTACGTGAAAGAATCGCTGTATATCGACGAATGTATGTATGTGTTGAAATGTTAACATGTGTAGGAATATCTGCAATGCATATTGAAAATATAAATGGGTCAATTATGCTTCCTTAAGGAACCCTCGCCCGGTGTCGTAACTACTAACACTGAAAAGACGGTCCATCAGATAAAATCTCAGTGAGATAGAACGCATGAGCGGGAATGCCAAAAAGACAAAAATAAAATTTATTAGGTTTTTCTGATATACGACCGCACAGCAGAAACTATCCATCCTATTTGTATTCCTATTTTAGTTGTGTAATAAGCCGTGACCGGCAATGCTTTTAAGTGTAATTAAATTTTTATGGATGGTTAGAAATATCGATTTAAAAGGCATTAAGTTATTTTCATTTTAAGTCGTATAATAGAAAAGACCCAGCTTTATTACTATATATGCTTTCTACGTTTACAATAAGAAAAAAAAACACTGCAAAAATTAAATATGTACCAATAAAAAACTGACAAGACTACAAGTTAAAATGTTAAAGGTTAAAAAACAAATTTCACAATCTATATAATAATACATGCAAGCACTTTTATCTTATTTTATCAAACCAGAAAAAAAAACAATTATTATAATTTCTGTGAATGTAAGGAGATAAAAGTTTGTTAAGATCCTGTTTTATTTCGTTTTTGAGTGAAATCTTATAACTGTTATTTAAGACACTACAAAGTTCTGACATAACTACGTAGTACTTAACAAACGGTGTCGGCTTGTATGGATCGCTCCGTCGATCGTCCAGTCACGCGATCTGAAGCAGAGTTGCAAATGTACATTTTACCCTTAGCGAATATTCCTAACCGGGTTAAAAGCACTATCATTTCAATACTCAGTCGTCCTCACGTTCTTAACAGAAACTACCCCTTCCCAAATAAGGCATACGACCCGATGCACAATGCGGGCCCAACCACCCAAATAACGCCGGTGGAAGACTGAGGAAAAGTGGGATAATCATCATACGAAATCAGTGCTCTGGTATCCGAAGTTAACTTTTACGGCCGAAATTGTATTTATAAGTGAATAGACGCAGAAACAGTATATGAATAGGTATTGAACTTTCACCCCGGTGGGTTTTCACTCCCCGATGTGCTGACCCTTGGGTCTATACACCCTTTAAGCGGCTGGGTGGCTAGTAACCCCTTACGCCCCGCTACGCTAAAAAGAGAGAGAGAGAGAGAGAGAGAATGAGTGAGAGAGGGGGGAGAGAGCGAGAGAGCGTGAGTGAGTGAGAGAGTGAGAGAGAGAGAGAGAGAGATAAAGAGAGAGATAGACAGACAGACAGAAAGAGGGAGGGAGAGAGAGAGAGAGAGAGAGAAAGAGCGCGCGCGAGAGAGAGAAAGAGAGTGAGAGAGAGACAGAATCAGACAGACAGAAAGAGGGAGGGAGAGAGAATAGAATCTACTTTTTATCTAAAGTCTTGGTTGAGATAAAAAAGTTAGTGTCACGTGCGGGATTCGAACCCATGACCTTCGGCTCAATACGCCGCTGCTCTAACCACTTGAGCTATCGTGACGCCATTTCTTCGTGGGTTCGAATCCCGCTCGTGACCCTAGCTTTTTCATCTCAACCAAGACTTTAGATAAAAAGTATAATTAATTTAAATAATTAAAAGCACAATTATGACCGCTAATCATATATGGATTTATTGAAAATATTTACAAAAGTTCAAAAGTTTATGCATTTTATTGCATTTTATGCATAATTATAGTTTATATTATAATCTCCTGCTTTAGAATTTACTTTTTAATGAGTGTTTCAACAAACAAAAGTTAATTTAAGGGTAAAAATCGTATGAAAAACCCTAAGACGTAGACAAGGTTTAAACTAAACAGTTCTTCACTCTCCTATGCCTGTACACTGTAAAGTCCAAGTTACAGTGCACGATTAATCAAACCGATACTGTTCACAGTACGTTCAAACATATTCTTTGTGTTACGTTTTATGTGTGTACAACGTAATCCATGTCTGTGTTAATGTGCAAATCTAGAATGAGGGTTAGGGGGGGGTGATGTCATCAGCCGTAAAAAATTATTTTGTGTGATTTGCGTCCGGACGATATTCTGTCGTGATTCAAACCCTACGAGGGGCAAGCATTCAAGAGCAGTGGTCTAATCATTACTTTATAGAAGAAAAGTTTGTTTACTTGGGACAGTTCAGAGTCTCTGCATAGTAAGGGAACAAGTCGAATTGCCTTTATTCACTTAAATAAGTGGCGAAAGTTTGCTTACAGCCAAACAAGTATCACCCCAAAGTAGTCTTAACTGTATCAGACCAAGCAATTATCTGACCCCCGAAGACATGGTGATACAACAAAGCCCTGCGCTTTGTAAAGAAGATAACTTCCGTTTTTTGTGGGATTTATTTTAATTCTCCATTTGTTAAAGAACTTGCCAATACATGACATGGCCTTTTGGTGCCGAGGAGATCGTCGCTTCCCAACCAACGGGGTTAGGCTCCGACGGGGCTGTCGACAACTAGGTCATTTAAGCGCCAAACGCATGCAAAATATAATCTAGCCCAAAACTAACAGTCGCACAATTAAAGACATTCACGCCTATGTCCATTGCACTCATTCTAGTTAGTCGGTGGTGTACTCTGGATATTCCTCCATCGACCTACACACAATTATAATAAACAAATATAAATTAGGGTCGGTGGAGTTCTGTCATAAATATTCCTACATCGACCTTAAAAACACACACACACACATTGGTGTGGCTAAGGCTGTTACCCGAAGTAATGATCTACCTTTCTCAGGGTTCCTCTAGCTACAGTGAAAAAGAAGATAGTGCAGCCTGGAGGTGTGGGAGGACTTACGGAGTAACTCCAGCCGGTCCAACAAACAAAGGAATTTTTTTCCAACTCTCTCCTCTCGCCTTCGGATGCTTCACCTAAAATTTGGTTATAGGCTGACGCAAATTCTGACGGGGCAAGGCAGAATGGCAGTGCAGAATATTTGCATCGTTTCTTTGCATCGTTGCTTTTGCATGGTGACTTAAGGTTTACGATGGCCTCTGGCCAATTGCGCATTCCTGAAACCGGAGATTTTGCCATATTTTGTGGGCATAGTGAATGTCATTTTTATTTTTCTGAAAAAAAAAATTTTTTTCATTCAAGTGTTTAAAATCTTATTTTGTGTTGTGAAATTGTTTTTGGTTACTTTTGGTTTATTACTCATCTTCACAATGTTTTTTTGTTGAAAATATTTCATCATATATGTAATATTATTAATGGAACATGTATATAAATAAACTCCCTGGTGTTAGGGTGTACTTTCATTAGGAAAAACACACACACTGCTGGAGGGTGACACTATAATTCAACACCTGCTCCTCAACTATAATAAATAGGTATTATTGCCAATAAGAATAATAATAATTCAGTATTCGTTCCCCAGGGAACCGACATGCAGACAACCAACAAAACTTATGGCTGATGGATACAATTCAGTGTTATTTACTTGCGTTTTCGTTCCCTCAAATAGAACATCCCGTGGTTACTAACACAATTACTAATTTTTTTTTACTTTTTTTGTAAATTTAATTTTTTTAAAATTTTTAAGTAAACATTTTGGTTTAATTTTAATTTGCTATTAGTGAATATTGCATGCTATTCCAATTAATTAATCTCTATGTAAGGTATTGGTCGAAATGAAAAAGTCAGTGTCATGAGCGGGATTCGAACTCACGACCTTCCAAGTTCATCAAAAAGGAGGGAAAATTCGAAAGACTAGGTTGAGATGGGAAGTTAGTGCCCGAGGGGATTGAAGTCAGGATAGCTCAAGTGGCTAGAGCAGCGGCGTATTGAGCCGAAAGTCATGAGTTCGAATCCCGCTGGTGACACTAACTTTTTCATTTCGACCAATACCTTAATTAATTTAAAGAAGTTATTTGGTCAATCGTACCACAAAATCTAATGAATTGAATTTTATGTTGGACATATAGCTATAGTAGGCTACTGTATTATCTGTTATTCGGCAGAATTTTGGAGTAGGGGAAGGATAAAAGATAACTTTGGAAAATCGTACTCACCGTTGCACTGGTTGTTTTGTTCTATTCGGCCCTCTCTGCAGAGGCAGACCTTTGTCGTTCTCTGCGATGCGGACGTCGTCGCGTTGGGGTTGATCTTGCATTCACCTCCCTCCAGGCATTCGCCGTCGTTCTTGCACGTTTCTCTCAGACCTGTTTCATCGGGAGTAAATTATTAGGCAATCTGAGGGAAGCCGACTGAAAAAAAAAAAAAATATGCCGGCATGGCACTGACCCGTGCCATCTACAATACTTCCGCGGATGTCTCATCTTATGCTGTCTGCTAGTAAACGGTTCCGAACGTTGAAAATAATTTTCTTTATCGAGAAAATTGAAATAAATATCAGTGGGAGATTAAATTTTTACATTATTGTGATGAGATTTTCGATATACATTTTTCCATTGAGGGTAAACTTTCAATTCCACTCCTTGTCTTATAGCAATCAAATCACAATTACAATATGTATTAAATTATTTGAATACCCAATCCAATCACGATTTTATTGGGTAATTGAGTATGTTTCTATTTGACAGGTAAAACGACCAGAAGACAAATTTTCTCATTTAGATAATTTTCCGGCTAATTTTTTAAAACCCTCAGTCAGATATGTTCATTTCTCAAGTGTCTTTTAAAATTGTATAGCTCGCTGCTTTTTGAAAACTGTTTAAATTTACATTTACTCCAATTTCAAATAAAAAATCATTACATATACTGGCATTCAAAGAAAATATTGATAATTCAATGTCCTACGCAGACTTTAATAGTAAATTGTTCAAAACTATATCGGGTTTGTAAAGACTATTTGTTTGGGACGTGACGAAACCGAAGTTTTTAAAAATTACATTTTCGATAATACACTGGTGTACAAATTTCACGCACCACCCAATTGATTTGGTTTAAAATTAAATCCATTATCTTTCTACATTAGTTTCAGGTAATTACAAGCTATCGTAGTCAAAACAAACAGCAAATAATGCTTTGTTTACTTCCTTTAGTTTCTTTTATACTGATTAATCCCATATGCACAAAAATTCGCATTATACCCTTCCATTCTGCTACGCCTAAAGATCGCTTTCGCTTAATCTTTTTCTTCGTAGATTCCATTTGATATTCTTTTTATTCTTAAACTTTTTCAATACGTCCAGTCAAGTATTTGGTGAGTATGACAGTGTCAGGGATATAACGTTATTAGAGGAAGGATAGAGACAGCGCGAAGTTGCCAGGAGTCTGAGTGGAAATCACTCTAAAATAGAAAGGGTTCTTCGACGTTTCAGAGCACAAGGGCTTCACACTAGAGAGCCAGGTCAGGGCCGGCCTAGGTCTACAGACGAGAAAGACGATAGATTCATCCAACATCAGGCTCTACGAAACAGCAGCATCACGGGAAATGATATAAGAAATCTGATAAGACAAGCCTGAAATGTATCGATTTCCTCCCAGACTATAGGAAGAAGGCTCAATAAATAACCTCAAGGCTCGGCAGCAGGGCGGACCTCTTCTTATAACAGCTCAGATAATGGCCAGGCATTGGAAGTTTGAGGACGAGTACTCACTCCTTACGGATGAGATGAAAGTTCCTCAAATCTTCATATGGAGACGCTCAGGAGGAATGTACGCCCCATGCTGTATGGTTCTTCAGGTGGCATTCCACGGTGGGTCGTTGATGTTCTAGGGTGGCATTTCCTTGGACGCCCGCACCAATTGGTTGTTGTGCAAGATGATCTCTAACTTCACAGAGGTACTTACAACATAGAATCGAAGAACAAATAGTCCCATTTGCCCCCACATTAGTGAGAGATTCTTGCTAATGCAGGATAATTGCCAGGCTACACAGAGCAAGTATTGTGGGTGACTACCTGAATGAGGTCGGAATTGAATGCTCGAAGTTCAGATTTGAACCCAATTGAACACATTTGGGGCCAACTTAAGCAACGAGTAACATTAAATCTCTCATATCCAGGTCCTAACGCCTTAGAAAAGTTGGAAACGGCTGTTCTTGATGAATGGGAAAGAATTCCTCAGAATTTTATCAGAAATCTTTTCCAAGGAATGCAAAGGCGTTTAACCGATGTGATTCGTGTCAGAGGTGGTAATACTCAATATTAAAGAAAACAGAAAAAAATTATTTATTTATTTTTTTACTGTTTATTTATTTTTTATATGTTTATTATTTTTTTATGAATTAGATAATCAATTTTTCCTTTCTAAATGTCTTGTTTTTATAGCCAAACCTATTTTTGATTTGCAGAATATGAACAAAACTTAAATCAATAATATTTAAGGGTGTTGCGTTTATTTTGTCCATCAGTGTGTGTAATTGATGATGTAGTTCAAAAATGGTGGATAATACACTGGACAGTAATTTTCAATTTGGCGTCAGTTCGTCGGCCCATCATACAATTAAAAAATATTACAAAAATCTATGAAAATATGTGAGTTTTGTATTTGTCGATATGTGTAAAAAAAGTTCACGTAAGCAATGCAAGAAACGTCGAACGCAGTGTAGACACATTTAAAATGAATGGAGTGATGGGGACAAGGTAAAGGACGTAGGATGGTTTCTTTTGTGAATTATTTCCTTGTTTTGATATGCAAAATAACAGAAACGAGGTGTTGCATTCCTAGCAAAGTGGCTGTTACGTCGGTTCGGAAAGGAACACAGCGCGCCGTACCCGAGAGGTCCGGCTCTTCTGAAGTCGACGAGAATCACGGTTGCAAACATCGATTGGACATCCCTGGTAAAATAGTCTTAGTATCTTTTAACATAATCGATCTCGTTCTTTCTGAAAATTAAACGCCTAAAATTTTGGAGGGCGCTTCATAATTTTGACACACACACTCAGAATGAAACACACTCAAATACAAAAAGGGTCACTTGTATTTATCTTTTTATTGTACATAATAACTAGGTATAAAGATTAATAAGTGACTTAAAAGGTAAACACAACATTAATAACTTGTTGTTTACCTTTATAGGGTGTTACTATTAAACTCGTTAGATTAAAAATAAAGAAAATCAGTTCAATTTCATCTTTTTTGACGCTATCTATTGTCGAGGGAGTGAATTACGTTTTTAAATTCTTTTCTTTGAAGAACAATAAATTTAAGCAAAAAATAATTGTTTTCTTAAAAGCATGAGAAAGACTTAAACAATTTGGTTTATGTCGAGAAGATCTCGACCCGGCAGATGCTTTGGCTAACGACGGACGTAGCGTCCGTTTCCTAGCCGAAATCCTCCGTGTCCCGCATTGTACCATCCACCATGGACTTCAGAAGTTAGGGCCACCGGAAGTCTCGATCGAAGAAAATGTATACTCTACTTAGGTAACGGCTATAGACGATCGTTTTGTTGCTCTGACGTGTGAGGTGAGCTTTATTAAATCAGTCAACAGAAAGGTTTCGTGCGAATAGCCTAGTCTGTACTCTTCAAGAAGCATCGAGTAGAAAGGCGACTATTCGTAAATGAGCATCTCATTTGGACACTTCTGAGAATGACGGGCTGTTCTCGTTACATATGAGTGCCGGTTTGATTTGTGGCAATCAGATGAACGGTACCTTGTGTGGAGAAGACTTGAAGAACGCTTTGCTTCGTGTGCGTGGCTTAGCATTTTCAAAGGCTGACAGTTATTGTGGCATGTTGTGGAATCGACGACTATGTCCATACAGAACTGATATCGTAGAGAATGGATCATTCACTACAGTAAGGTACATGGAGGAAGTTTTTCTGCAAGCTGTGGTCCCATTCCCTCCATTTCTCTGGGACAATTTCGTATTAATGCACGACTGCATGTAGCTTGATTTATCACCCATTATTTATAGGATGGATGTAGGTAGGTAGTGCCACAAAGAATTGGCCTGCACTTGTTCTTCTGACATGAAGCCTACAGAACATTTATTGGACATGATAAAGAGACGGATTAGAAATCGTTCGCCGCCTCCAGTAAGCGTTGGACAGCTTCAAACGTTGAAGAATGGGATTCTGTTTCACAAGACCAAATCCTTGACGGACACCTTGTTATAAATTGTTAGTTAAATTTTAGGAGCACAACCATGTAATAAATTGTTTGTTAAAATTAAATATTTTATCAATTAATTAAGGTTTTTAATTGAGATAAAAAGTCAATGGCACGAGCGGGATTCGAACCCACGATCTTCGGATAGATACGCCGCTGCTCTACCACTTGAGCTATCGTGACCTCGATCTTTATCTCAATTAAAAACCTTAATTAATTGATGTATATTAATTGGTCAAGCGGACCACGAAATTAGTGAATTTAATGAATTAAAATGAAGTATACTTCACTAAAGCTCTCCGTGGCCATTTCATTTGAATAGATTACACGACATTTGAAAAATATTCAAAAAATATACAAAGAAAAATTCAAAAGAGGGGAAGTTGTATCCGAGTGGATCGAGGTCACGATAGCTCAAGTGGTAGAGCAGCGGCGTATCTAGCCGAAGATCGTGGGTTCGAATCCCGCTCGTTCCATTGACTTTTTTATCTCAATTAAAAACCTTAATTAATATATATTAATTGGTCAAGCGGACCACGAAATTAGGGAATTAAATGTTTTAAATAAAGTTATTCCGGTGTTTTGATAAATTTTCTTTCAAACCGTCATAATTAAATCATTTTTATTAAAACTCATGAATTTCTAATATCGTTTAATTTGGTTTACATTAAAATAATCAAGTTGTAATTAATATAACGACAAAAATACATACATATAGTTTCAAATAAACGACAAAATACGAGTGTTCGATTTTTGTCTTTGTGAGTGATTTTATTTGCCGAAGTCGTATATAATTTTCACTTAACATTTTATTGACGAAAATTATTATCCGAAAAACGTGAAATGTACGGAATTAAAAATAGTTTGAGCATAGAACTACACCACGGGTGAGGCGGTCGAGGGGTCAAACCACTTGCGGTACTTTTTTCATACTATTCTCAATTAAAAAGCAATGGACTGAGCCGGGATTCGAACCCAAGAACTTCTTGCTGGCAAATACGTGTCGGACGCCCTAACCCCTCGGCCACTGAGGTCCCCAGCAACTAATGAACCGACCAATACTAAATAACCAATACTAAACGTTTCAAATAAATATTACGGGAGGGACTATAATTAATGAAGTTATGTTACAAGGTATCTAATATCAATGACCCTGCTTTTCGTTTTGATTCTTGTACCGTCTTAGATTTAATATTTTCGAAAAATTTTAATATACAATAACCTGTTTAATATTTTAAAAATGTGTAGCCCTAAATGAACACAAAATTTTATCTATAATATAGGTATATGTGATTGTTTTGAGAGATCCCTTAACAATTGGCTGGAATTGTATAGTATTTCCATTTTATTATAATTTTTTGTTTGTTTGTTGCAAAAAGAGGATTTATAAGTCAACTGGGTAAAATAGGCCATCGGAACAGGAAACTGAAATTAGTGACACCTTTTCCTTCGGACGATAAGCACGCAAACATGGGCAGGCGAGGGTCGTTCATTCTGGTACAACAGCTACTCCACAAAATTAAAACGCTATATCTGAGAAGGCGTAATTTTTAAAAAATTTAAGTTTTTCACGTTAACATTTTTACTTTGTAAACATTTTTATTCTAAACGAGATTCTAAATTTTGATCGTATTTGACCTATTTTGAACTGGCACCCAATTTAGTCGTTGCTTTCAAATCAAAATGTGAAGCTTGTTTCGAAACAAAGAGTATTTTTTGACAATTTATATGTGTGGGATTATTTGCGAAGAACCGGAAGTAATTCCAACTTGTTGTGTGTAATAAATGTCTCTGATCGTTGAAATCTCCCTAAAGCCGGATATAAGTTGTGACATTTTTTTTTTAACTTCTGTCGATAAGTTCAAAAAGCGACGATTTTACAAACAGTTCAGCATTTATTTGAATTGCTCTGAATTACGAAAAATTAACTACGAGGATTTTTTCCTTCCGTGGAAACGCACGGTCCCACGAAACATGTGATAAATCTAAGGTTATAAGCATTCTGTAAAAGGATCGATGCAGGTAATACTCAGGTTAGTTAATAGCAATAGCTAAGCTTCTTTCTAGTAGGTTTATGCTACCGAGCAGAGTCGGCCGATAAGGAATGCCATACAGGAGCTGTAAATTACCAGCGGTAGCCTTCATTATGCAGAGCGATGGCTATCGGCTTTTCTACTCTGTCTCGTAAATTTGATTTTTGCCCTTTTCTTTTCTCCCCTTCTCTAAAGGTCAAAGGTGAGAGTGGACGTAAAACTATCCTGCGCTGACCCGTCTTATTATTTTTTTGGCGGCTAATTAGAACAGCCAGTTCTTGTGAAATATCATTTAGAATGAATTTGTAACTGTAATTTTTTCCTAGCTATTAATAATTAAAATAAATTCTATTCTCCAATGATTTGAAATGTTCGGCTCAGATAACGAAAATATATTAAAAAAATAGAGCACGGAAACGAAAATATGTAAAATGTAAAATTATTATTAGTTTAGCAGTTATTGAGAGTCACTTACGTGTGGATAAAGTTTCTTAAACAAAAAAAAGGGAATTGTACAAAATAATTCTTTTAAACGTAATAATACTTCTGATATTAATGTTTAGCAATAAAAATAATAATAAATTGCTGAAGTCTTGAGGAATGGTCAGGAATGAAATAAAACCGTCTATCATAAAAGAAAAATTCCCAGATTTACCGCGTTCCCCACCCAGTCATCATAAGACAATAAGGGCAGAAAACAAATTCATGTTTCACAACAATTTCGCACCACGTTATGTGATTAAGAAATATTTGGTTCAAAATGTACATTATTTACATCTGTATCGTATTTTTTTCCAATCAATGTATGTTTTGAAATTCACCTAGGACCTGAAGACGACCCGAATAAAGGTCGAAACGTCGTCAAAAAATGAAAAAAGGTGTTTTCAAAAAGACATCATTCCTGACCGCTCCTCACGACTTCAACAAATAATTGAACAACCGGTCTCTAAAAAACGCATAAAATAGTAATCCTTGATAGTATGTAACTCAACTTTAGAAAAATGCTGAGTAAAGCGGAGAACACACTTACCCGATGCAATGCTATGCGACGCTACCCGACGCCTTGTCACGTTTGGTTGGATGTGCACATCTATGCGACGTCAAGCGCACGCCACATACAGTCACACAGCGTGAATCACAAATCAGTATCACAATCGCAACGCCTCTTTTGTTCTTAACGCACTATTTTGAGCGAAACCATGAAATAAATTGTTAGTTAAATTTTATGAGCAAAACCGTGTAATAATTTGTTCGTTAAATTCGTTATATCAAAAAAAGGTATTCCAGTGTTTTGATCAATTATCTAACAAACCATTAAAAAAAAATTTTTAAAATAAAAACTAATGAATTTTTGATCTCGGTGAATTTGGTTTGTATTAAAATAAGTAGGTTGTAACAAATATAACGCCAATAACATGTAGTTTGAATAAAAATATGACTGTCCGGTTCTTTTGTCTTCGACTCTACTCGATGCTACCCGTCGAAAATCTGGACATTGGGGAACTTGGTTGTATCGCGTAGCGTAGAGTAGGGTAGCGTTGCATGGCATCGGGCAGATGTGCAAGGGGGTAATGCAATCTTATTGAAAATTGGACTTTGGATTTGCGTCGGGTAGCATCGGGTAGCGTCGCATGGCGTTGCATCGGGTAAGTGTGTTCCCCGCTTAAGATGTGCTCCTTCCCAAGCACAAAGAAAAACGGATAGGGGAGAGGACTAAAAACTATCCTGCCAGGAAATTTTTATTAATAAAATTTAAAAAAAACTTTTTACATTCAATATATTAAAATACCCAACCTTTTGTTGATCATCCCAATCACCAAATATATAGAAAAATAATATATTATGAGCGTACTGGTTCGTTTTGAAAATATCGTATTCTAAATTCTCTGACAGATCCGACTTACGTATCGCATACACTTGGCTGGTACAGCCTTTGTCCCTACATCACCTACCACGACCTCACTGGGGGCTGGGGCCCAACCAAGTACGTGTCGCACCTGATGGACAAGTTTTAGGCTAACTGAGTAAGGTTCGGAGCTTGAAACTAGTTTTTCATAATGATTTTCCAATACTCGAATACCCGTGAGTTGGGACACGTCAGAGTTGGGATTTTATCAGAAGTATATGATAAATAATTCAATTGTAAGAAGTTTATCCAATTTTAAAATGCGTAAGCCTTACACGAATATAGTCAGTATAGAATAGAATATTTGGAAATTCTTTCATATCGAATAATCGTCTCTAGAGATATAAAATGCGCATAAGCATTAAAGTTAAAACGTTACTTTAGAAAATCTGAAAAAATGAAAATAATTGAAAATACATGCAGATGAGGTGGAATGTGATGAAATGACGTTGAGAGAATTCGGTAATTTGAAATCGGAGAATGTGAAATTTCATGAAAAATGTTACCGTTGTCACAATAGTTCGATTTGTGTGCGTAGATGCGATTTAATAGTACTAGCATGACAATCGAATAAGGATAAAGAGATTTTTGTCTCTCATGCCGTCTACGTCGGATTGATGAGATGGTCGTGCGTTGATGGGATCGGTGTGGTTTTGAGTGTACCTAGCCTGATGTGAGGAACGAAGAGCGGTTTCCTCGTCGTCGTCATGTTAACCCGGTTTGTCTGGATCGGGAAGAATGGGGGTGTTGGGGCGGGTCGGAACAGGACAGCATCTGGAACCGACACCTTCCGCTCAGCAACAATTCCCATTGAGTTGTAACTTGTAACACTGTGTAAATTGGCACAACGCATGCAGAACAAACGCTTTCATGACCATGGTTTATATTAAAGATGCGTTCAGTGTTTATTACATTCTTTCAACAAGCATTCTTCGAATAGGCCTTTCATTGAACACCACCTAAACATTAAAGGGATTAGCATATAGAACGAAATGAAAAAGGTCGAGAGTCCGAGAACGAACTTTTCACCGCGTTTCTTTGCTTTTTATTTTTCTACAAGACAGAAGCGAAAAACGTTTTTACGGCGAATAAAGTGTACGACTGGTGGCGAGTAACGCCACCCAAGGATTCTATCTCCTATTCTTCTCATGAAAAGAAAACAGAATTTCACGGAGGAGGAAAGAGCGATCAGAGCTTTTTAACGGAAAGCATAACAAAAAGATTTACTATTGCGAGACCCTGACCCGTGTTCAAAACTGATTCGATTATCGCTTCGAGACGTTTGCCCAGACCCAAATATACAGGGTGACCAGAGAAAGTGCGAAAATTTGTTTTTTGTGTGATAGTACACCCTGTTTGCAACAACTTCCAACGTATAGTCCCTTTACCTTCAGGCTCTGACGAGTTACGATTTTTTGTTAGTTTTACGTTAGTTACCTTACTTGAGAAAAACGAAAATATCTATCAACAAGGCGTCCGCAGTTTTGGATTCAAAACCACTAGATTTACTACTGAATTGTACTCTTTAAGGAATCCCCAAACTTAAAAATTCATCACAGTAAGGTCATAGGTACGAGTTGGTCACAGGACTCCTCTTCAACCAATCTACGTGGGATATTGTTGGTTCAACCAGGCATGCACCTGTTGGGTGTAGGTGTACAGTTCAGTAGTGATCAGTGCTGAAGATTTAAGGATTAAAATCCTCCTAAAGCATCTGATAAACTTAGAACCAATTTATCCACAAGAGTAACTTGTAAGGTTGCAAAGTTGATTAATGCATAAATTTGGCTTGTTTGTACACAAACAACCCTGGTGGGGACTTTCTTCCCGGAGGAGTGATAAGAAAAGAGGGTAGAAAGGCATTAAGTGGCTGGAGTCGCCGGAGTCAACAACGGTGAGCCTATTCCTTTATATTGGTGTATTCCTTTCTGGTGTGTGCCCGTTCCTCGTTCAAATAAGTGCAATTTGCAATAGCCATTTCTATTGAATTGATTTATCTAAGTTGAAATTTTGTTGTTCTTCTGTAAAGAGGAATTTTTTATTTTTTGAGAAAAGACTTTTTGTATTGTTTCTTAAGTGGCATTTTATAACCCACGACCCTCGGCTAAATACGCTCTAACCACTTGAGCTATCGTGACTTCGATCCACTCGGACACCAACTTCCCATCTCAACCCCACCTTTCGAATTTTCCCAACTTTTTGCCATTTTTCAAATGCCGTATTATGTATAAAAATTGTATCTCAACCAATATCTTACATAAAGATTAATTAATTGAAAAACGTGTGGTGGTTAGTGACCGTTAATCTTAGAGTTTTTGGTCGAGGACCGACGGGTTCTTTGGGAACAAACTGAGGTAGGTGCCATGAGAAAAGGACGGATGTGGGTCAGACATCGTGGTCATCATTTTGAAAACAATTTTTAATGACTAATGCATGTAACTCCTTCAATAATTAGTTGTGAATATAATTATAAAAGCCTGTGATGTTTAGTGACTGTTAGTTAATAAATATTTAGACATAAACCTACATCACACCAGACCGCATCTCACGATCTCTAAATAATATTTATAAAAATTGAAAAAAAAAAGTTCTATTTATCATCCTCGCCTGATTCGTGATCGTTGATCTCATGTACGTTTTTGAACAATTGATACGCGGTAAGTCTATTACGGTCAGGAGGGGTTATGGATAGTCTTATGCCATTTGAAAGCTTAGTAAATAATGAAATTTTCGTGAAGTTTGACAATGTCTATGATTAAACATAAGAGCATTCCTATTTATACATTATTTCATAAAAAAACCAAACTTTTTGGTGTATTTCAATTTAATCATTTATTAAGGTTCTTAATTTAAAATTATTTCAGAAGAAAATAGTATTAAGGAAATGTAATGCTGAATCTAAAACTGTGGAGGCCTGATGATAGATATTTGTGTTTTTCTCAAGTAAGGTAACATTTCTTTGGAAAAACTAACAAAACTCGTAACTCGACAGGTACTGATGACAGGTGTAGGGACGTGGTTGGAAATTGTTGCAACTAGGGTGTACTATCACCCAAATTTTTTTCGCACTTTCCCATGGAAACCCTGTACAAAAGGCGTTCATTTTGCTTACGATTTCCTCTTGTACGCATTAATTTTTCTCCGGCTGTCTTTTGTAAGGGGTTTTTCCTTGTTTACGCAAATAAAAACTATGTTTTGAATCCGAAGCAAACGGCCTTCGGCGAGTGTATACACGGTTCGTTCGTGATCCCGATTGTTTACGGCCATATTTCATTCCTCGTTCTTTCGCGTGCGTTCCCCACGAGGCAAAACAGAGTTCCGGCCTTGTCTTTCATTCTTCGGAGTCGCGATGATACGTGTTTTCGTAATGTCTCCCCCGTCTCGCTTTTTCTAGCGTGGCATCGAAATCGATTTCTACCACTCGTCCGGTCGAGGGAAGCACTGTTTTCTCGAGAAACAAATTTATTCTGAATTGAATCGAAATGAAATTCATATACCAACGTAAAACGTCCTAGATACTTCGAATCAAGGAGATGAACAAATTGGAACAACGTCAAAATAAAATTATTTGCACATAATTTCGAATTACTTATGCTATTTTTATTTTATTCAGATGTTAAAATGTGAACCCTCGCTGTTCAGAGAATGTATTTTGTATACAACGACAATCGGTTCAAGTCCCCTAGGCTCTTTTCCTGAAAAAACTAATTATCCGATGCGAATTATATTCGTCGCTTTGTTTAAACAACGATTGTAAAATAATCAAATTGTACAATTGCAAAAATGCATAATTAAAACAACATTAACAACGTACATTCAAGCATGGGTATTAAAAATGCAACAGTAGAAGTTCGCAGTGCTTTGAAAACACGAGCCACGAGCAATAATAAATAAAAAACTGTAAAAATGAAGTGCACGACGACAGTCAACATGCAGGCAGGCAGATTGTTTCCTACTTGGAACAAAAAAAAAATAAATAAATAAACGTTTGTGTACCGCAGTTGAATAAATAATTGAGAAACACTTAGCTTAAACCAGATTCTCAACAAATTCAACGAGACAAGACAAAGAACATTCAATATTTTACAACCAACCTTTTTCCTTCCGCCCAAGGCCCGATGGAACGTACCCTCGCCTCACTGGCGTAAAAAAATAGAAAAGTTAGCTTTTCTCCTTCTGTTCGTCAATCAGGAATCAGTGTGCGAGGTTGAGAGAAGAAAAACTAATTGAAAGAGAGGCATGGAAAAAAAGAAAGAAAAGAAAGAGAAATAGGAAGAAAGTGGAGAAAAAGACAAAGTTGATAAGGTAGAAAGAAGAAAGTGCGTTTTTTATAGTGTATTATACAAGGGAACACTGCCCGTTTCCCAGTGAAAACGGGAAATGTCCCCGGCAAACATAAATATGTTTGCAATGTACGCACTGCCCCGCCAAACGTGTATATACATGGCACTTCATGCTCAACAACATTGAAAAATCTTTGAAAAGTTGTTTGAAAAAAATGTACGTATACACAACGGGCACATGATCCGATTATGATTGATTTAGGGATTAGGCTTGCGAGGTTTTGATAAAAATACAAATGCCGCTACAAGAATGAAAGATAATCATTTATTGAGGTGCTGTATATAGAGAAAAGCATTGTAAAAAATTTTTGCCATTTTTTTTTCTCTCCGTCAAAACTTACTAAAGAAAAAGTTAAAGCAAAAAATCCAACAAACATCGAGTTATTTGAAGTTTATTCTAAATTGTTTTGTACCTGTTGTCAAATTTTAAATGCATTTAAACCATTTTTAAGACAATATATGCAAACTGTTGCTCTGAGACGCCTTACTAAAGATAAATCTTAAACAATTATTTTTTTCTTAAAAAGCTTTAATATTATTGTTGTAATTGTGCAGGGTTATAAACAAAACTAAGAAATTTATTTTATTATACTATCGGTTTCACATTGCAATTAACATTTGTCGAAAAAACAAATCCGGTTAGTATATACATTGTTCGTTTTGCATGTCTAGATAAATAGCAATGTAAGGTAAACCAGAAAACTGAAGTTTAAAAAAAATTTTAAATTAAAATCTGAGAATTAGATTTGGAGTTAATTAATGGCAGAACCTATTAGGGACAGTGTCCAAAACAACTACATCAAAATTTTAATGTAAAAACAAATCATAAGTCATGCATTTAGTAGTTATAATTTACCGTGTTAATTATCCTTTTTATCTAAACTCTTGATAGAGATGAAAAGCTAGTGTCACGAGCGGGATTCGAACCCGTGAAGTCTCGATAGCACAACTGGTTAGAGCAGCTGCTTACTGAGCCGAAGGTCGTAGGCTCGAATCCCGCTCGTGACACTAGCTTTTTCATCTCAACCAAGACTTTAGATAAAAAGTAGATTCTACTCTCTCTCACACGCTCTCTCTCTCTCTCTCTCTCTCTCTCTCTCTCTCTTTCTGCCTCTTCCCTTTATTCTGTTTTTTCTTCATTCTTTCTCCCTCTCTTATTTCCCCTTCTCTCTGTTCCCACTTTTCTCTTTATTTCTCTTACTCTCTCCCTCATTCTCATTATCTTTGCATGCTCTTTCACCCTCTCCTTATCGTGGCCACTTCCATTCTCTCTCTCTCTCTCTCTCTCTCTCTCTCTCTCTCTCTCTTTTTGCTACTTGCTTTTATTCTTTCACTCACTTCATTAAAATTGAAAAACATGGATTTTTTTTAAAAGGCCCTATTTTCGATACTTGTAAAAAGAACAAAGGACAGGAATGAGAATCACTGGAAATTGGTATTTTTGGGTACAGGAAAATTACAAAACAGTGGAAATCTAAATAAAAGACGGTCATTGTAAATGAAACAAAATAGTTGTTTTTGTTAATTAAACTTTTCAGNTTCTCTCTCTCTCTCTCTCCCTCTCTCACTCTCTCTCTCCCTCTCTCACTCTCTCTCTCTCACTCTCTCTTCTAATAAACTTATAATTAATTAAAACAGAATCATAAGTCTAAATCTTGTCTGGCAATGGATAATCCTCGTTTATTATTGTAAGTAAGACCAAACAGTCAAAAACATAAAAATTCATATTATTTCATCCAACGTTGGATTTTGTGTGCCGTTCATCTTACGCATGGAGAGATGGAAGAAGTCGTCTCAGAGCAAGTTAAAAAGATAAAATAAAATAAAAAAAATTTTTTAAACCTTCAACCCGGAATCCGATCTTCAAAACGATGTAAAGACTTGAGGATTCACACCCCGTCAACATTTTGAAAATCGGATTTTGAGAGTTTCCGCGTTATCGTGTACAAACTCGTTTCGAGTGTGGACTTACCTCTCGGCCGGTTGACGCACTGGCCGTTTTTGATCGGTGAACCGTCGTTGCAAATGCATCGCTTTCTCAGATCCCTGTCGTCGGTTTTGCAGCTCGAGTAAATGATATGGGCGCAGTCCTGATTCGATTTGCACTCCTTGCCTTTACCTAGGGTCACACACAGACACACGCCGGCTCAAGTCCACACACGGTCGAGGTCATGGGCGAAACCGTGGCCGAGTCCCGTATGCGTCCGTTGTCGAATGGGGCCGGGACGTTCGGCAACGATTTCGACGTTTCTCTCTACCGTGCACCGACGATGAAATTGGAACAGAACGTCTTGGAAAATTTACTTCAGAAAACACAATTCAAAAATAAAACAACTTTCTCATATTCTTTTAAATTCACAATGACTAATACTGGATCGCTCTGAAGTGGATCCCCGAAGCGAATAATTAAATTCGTTTATTTAACCTAATATCACTAACTTGTGCTTGACAGCAATACAAATTATACAATATATTTCAACGAAATAAAACAAAAATATAAATCTATAATCAAAACTAGTTCTCCTCTAAAATTTTTCGATGTAATTGGACTTTCACCAAGAAGAGTCGTCACTCCCGGATATGCCAACCCTAGGTTTTATACCTCAGGGAGTTCACCTACTCCTATGTAGTCGGGTCGCTAGTATCTCCATTAAGCCAAATGCTAGGAGTTGTTCGCTTTCCAACCAACGGGTTAGGCTCCAAAACTTCAGCTTCCAAAGCATGGAAACTATAATCTACCCTAAAATTAACTAAATTCCACAATTCAGTCGCACAAATAAAAACATTCGTACAAATAAATACATTCATATCCTCATTCTGACTAAACTGATATTCCTCCGTCGACCTAGACACATTATTAATAGTCTAAGCAAAATTATGGTCGACTTTTATAAATATTCCGCCATCGATCTGATGGAGGGGCAACGATAATGCGATATTTCACCAGCACCCCTCACCACTCACACTAATAAATATACGCACTCAAACAAAACACATAAAAAAATATCTCCAAAAAGCGGAACATGAAACTCAGATACTCGCTACCGCAACCATTCTTAAATCCGGCGGCATTCCTGAACGCTCTCTATAAGGAGCCAAGGGATGATAAGATTGTGTGATATATATGATCTTTTGGGACACATCGAGTAACCTTTCTTTTCTTAAAGGAGCAGATGCCCGTATGTTTTAGATTCTATTTAGATTCTATTCTAAAATAATAAATTACAAGACAGGGACAATATTTTTTGAAATTGAGTTTTTGAATTTCCGAAGTCTGGTACAATTATAATTAATTCTTAGTTTGTGATTATACCAAAATCTAATGGCAACATTTAATGAAAAACTATAATAAATCGAATAAAGAATAAAGAAAGGAATGTATAATATTGTACTTGTATTTCCTAATAAAAACTTTTATTATTATTATTACTTTTACATATTATTATTATGATTATTATTCTAATAGCCTTAAATTCTGAGTATCAAATTTGGAGCTAAATCTTCGATTTTTTTAAAATGATTTTTAAGCAATAATTCCATAAACCAGTTTATTGTGCGAGTGCAAAATAAACTGGTTTCAGTTGATTTACACACAAAAATTGAAAATTCGAAATTTACGAAAAAGGTTGCGGATTCTACTAATAATTTATGCAATATGGAATTTAAAAGTTAAATTTTAATATAATACCACACCGAAATATTTTATTTTTAAATACCAATAAGTCATATGAGCAATCAATAGATCTAAGCAATTTTAAATTCTTCAAGATTAAGTTTCCTTATAAAAAAGAAAGGAACTACAAACGTTTTGTTATTGTTAATTAAAAGATAATTATTCGAAAGCCAAGAATGTACAGGCTCTCGGGTTTTATTTATACCAGCAGAGCACATTTTTGAAATCATCGTCAGAAAAAAATCAGGATAGTAAAATCAGAATAACTAATAGTTTACCAGATAAATCCAGTTTTAACAAATTATTTACATTAATAAAAACAAACCATAAAGAAAAAAGGTAGTTGCCAGGCAAACAACCCCTACTTGGCACATAAACACATTTTAATAATTATAAAAGGTTAAAAAATATATTTTAGAAAAGATAATCTAGTTAATTTCACATGTGACTTAAAAGCATTTAATAAGATTATAGGAGAAAAATGGGTTTCATTGAGATGGGAAATCGGTCTTGCACTTGTGCCTGAGAAAAAGCCAAATAAAATACGGAATCCAGGGGCTCAACAGAAACTTTAAAATTAGGATAAACGTTTTGTATAAAAAAATTGTTTATATAAATTATAGGATATAAATGTAGATCAATGATGATCTAAAAATGTAAATCTGGCACTCCGTCCATGTAGAAGTTTTCTGTTAATTCAGTTCAGGATTGGGTGTGAATATAGTTGAGATTCTTAATGTGACATTCGACTTTTTTTATTCTAAGTTTTGAGCAATTTCTTTCTAATTCTACTTGCAAAATAGTCGATTCGGCGGCGGCGCAACAGAACGGACAGCGACCTAACACGAGACCGTCCATGATTCATTCTGTAATTACGATTTCTCCTTCTGTCGTAAATAATTCACAGTGTCTTTGGATTCAAGCTGAGGAAAAAAGACGATCTGTTCCAATGCGCTTTAAGACAAGATTTGCGTTATGTACAAGGCAATACAATACTAACTGCGGCGTCTACAGGTTCAAGAGAATTACAATATAAAAATCTTTACACAATAGCTAAAAGAAACACATCTGAAAAGCCATTTTAAATGCTACTGAAAATACTACAAAAGTTAACAAAATAAAAAGGGTTAATTTAAGAGAGTCTTTCGGAAATCACATTAATTTAAAATACATTAAATTACATACAATAATTTTTAAAATAGGTTGATGTAGCGACGGAAATTATCGAGATTAAATAAAGGTAATATGAAAGTTTCGATATTTTAATCAAAATACAGCATGTTATTTTTCATACGGACCAGCCACTTTTATTTATACAAAGCAAGGTTTAAAAAAGTTAAATTTTATCCTCCCTTTATTTTTATTTTTTGTAAGGTATCTATTTTTTAATTTAGCCGCAGATATACTAGATGCATCATTCTGCATTTTTTAATAAATTACAGCCCTACATTTTTTGCTGCGTATTCTTAAAATTTTTTATGAAAAACGATTTTTTTCATTCAAATAGGTAAAAGATTTTCCGGGATGTAATTTCTTTAAATAATAGTACAGAGAATCGATCTTTTGACTTTTACTCTCCTTTCTTGTCAGTCAAGTTGACAGCGGAGTCGAAAAACGAAATTAAGAAAAATTTAACATAAATAACACTAACATTACAAGTAAAAAATCAGAAAAGTAAAAGACGTTAAATTACAACTAAACGACAACCAACTAAAAGTGTTAAACAAGAATAATGTTGTAAAGTATCGATTAACTTGAAGTTATCATAGGTGAGGGATCAGGGTAGTGGTCCAAATATAGCACAGTGTTGAAATATGCCATGCTTTCGGCAATGAAACAAGACTAGAGAATGATCTAGAGTTTTATTGCAGTGAACAAGTGGAGAAATATTGTACTTTAAACAAAAACTATAAAACCTTGGTTTTTATATTTATTCTTTGACCACCGAGTTTTGCCCCTGAGAATGGCTGTATTGTAAACATAACCAGAAAGAAGTGAATTATAAAAAATGATAAATTCCTGTTCACCAACGCCTCTTCTTTTAACCGAAAGATATATGTAGCTTTTTTAACATCGCCACAGCTGTTCCAATTATGTTTTAATTTCCTAAACAATTTTATTCTAAGTTTAGTTTTTCAACTCCGCTATTAGCATGACTGCCAAAAAAAGAGCACAAAAGTAATAAAAGATCCAAAGATCTCCTGAACTATTATTTTTATAAAAATTTATGTCGGGAAAATTGATTTTAATAGAAAAAATCGTTTTTCATAAAAAATGACATATTTTAAGAATATACAGCAAATAATATAAGGTTGTATTTGAAAAACAAGTTGAATGAGACATCTTAACTGCTGTAGAAAAAAGGAAAAAAGAAAAAATTAATTAACGTGAATCCAAATCAACCCTCTACAGTTTATGCAATATTTACAAGGCATTTTCAGTCACTAATAATACGTAAGAGGAATTGTACGCGATGTCGGACCAATCTCATTCTTGCTTTACGAAGAATTTAAAAATCGTCAAAAATTTAATTTAAAATTGGTTGTTGGTCGAGTCGGTTGGCCCTTGAGAAATCTTTTATTGTTACAATTGGTAAAAATACATTTTACGAGCTAGGACGATAACAATTAAAAATTTATAACCATATGATTTATTAATTTTAACATTGCGAAAAATCTTCTTTTTTTTAACTAACTGTACTGTGTAAAATAGCCGGTTACAATATTGTTTGTAAAAATACGAAAAATGTTATATATTATTGAAATGTAAAAAATATTAAGACTTGTTGTTTAGAAGAGTTTGTTAGACCGCTCAATCTTTCAATTTTAATGTAATGAAAAACTATTTTATTGAAACAATCTGTGCATTATTTATTATTTTTTCACCGTTGCAGGTGAGAATTTGTTCTGTTCGAAACCAATACGGAAATGTAGTCACCTAAGCCTAGGCTAAACCCGCACGACTCGCCGGTCTTTCTGGACTTTCGGCCGAGCGCCGTACTTTCGGTTTGTGTCCTAATTAATTAATTAACACAACACCCAATTTTGTATATGTAATTGCATCATATTGACGTTTATTGTAATTATTGTTATTAATTTATCCAAAATATTGCGGCTTCGGTTGAACCTCCGACCGAACTTAATTCAGGTTGAGGAACTTTTTTTGTATTTCACCAGCAATTACGAATTCATGGTTTCGCAAGAAAAAAACTCTGGGCCTAACATAAATTGGAAACTATTATTTCTAATAAATTAATTAATTTCATTAATAATGTTAAAAAAGCGTTTCCTAATTCGGACTTTAAAATTGGTAACAGGGACGATTACACAATGACAATTTATATGCAGTATTTTCAAGATTTGCTCTTCTAAATATAATGTTTGACAGTTTATCTATTTGATTTGTGTAAATTAGTTTTATAAGGCGGCATTTTTCTTTCAAAAAGTCGAGAAATTTCATTTTTGAGATTGGCCGACGGAGTGTTCGAGGAGTGCCAGATCAGCTTCTCTCGGCTCGGAATGCCAAAAAAATGGGTTCTTTTTTACCTACGAGCGGCGGTGGAGGCGATGATGGGTTGCTCGGCGACTTTCCGAAAGCGGTCAACCTCTTCGACCTGGAGAGCTGCTGGGCGGCGACCGTCGCCAGGAGGAGGGCCAGGAACAGTGCCAGGAGGAGGGTCTTCATCCTGCTCGGATCCGGTGTCTAATGAACCCGATGACGGAGGTCGTGATACCGCCTCCGCCGGCCCCGGCTCATGCGCCCTCACCCGGGCCACAATCACAGCCTCCCTTCGCGATGGCCAACCTATACCTTGCCGAAGTACCGACTCCGCCACATCCATTCTTCAAAGATACAAATACAAATCGCATGACTTTGTTTCATATCGATGTCATATGTCGTATCACGACTTTATAATTTATTAGTGAAATCGTGCAAGAGCGCGTAATTTTCAAGGATTGTAAACATTATCAAGTTCCTTTTCTATCTTGATAACAATACCATATTTATAAAGAAGTAAACTTATTGGCTAAACACCTGCTTCTTTAATTAAAGTAAAAATAATATTGATAATTAATCCATCTTTGTTTAGTGGCCATAATTGACCATATTAATTATTGATTATTACATATTAACAATTCTTTTCATCTCAACCAAAAGTCCTTAATGAAAAGAATAATTAATTGGAATATTGATAATACTAAATAGGTTATCCATATAGTTTGCTTGGTGTTTACTTGTTCCACATTCTCCTACAAGGTGCTAAACCTGGACTATCCCTTACTTTCTTGCCCAATAAGATGATGGATCAAACTTTGGAATTCATACGATTAAAAAAAATGAAAAAAGTCCTTGAACTTTCTTCTAGCAGAGATAAATTTCGTGAACTGAAAGACAACTTTCTTTACCAATTAGATGGTTGATTAAACTTAGGAATTCATACGATTAAAAGCAATGAAAAAGTCCTTGAATTTCTTGTAGCAGGGATAAATTTCGTGAACTGAAAACACTACTCTCTTGACCAATTACATGGTTGATTAAACTTAGGAATTTTTTTTCCAGTTTTTCATTTGTTATTGTTTTAATACCGTTAAAAACATAGGATGATTAGGTGTTTACGAAATGTAATACCAAGAGGAAAGTCCTTCATTTTATGAAGCAAAAATGTCTGGAACAGTTCACTTTAAATTGCACTCCGTTGAGAAATGTAAAAATAAGTGAGCGCACTCCCTAAAAGTTGCCCAAAAAAGTTTTAAAAGTACTCCGCCAACCACAAAGCGTCACCTTTTTGTTGGTGAATAATTCCTATAGAATAAATACAGAATAGTATTAATAAAATTAAGAAAAATTGCGGTTGTCCATGTTGACAAGGATTTATTATTATTTCCGACCCTGTTACCGACTTCAAAACAGTGGTGTTGTGAGCAAGGGATGAGAGTTTGTGTGAATTTTATCGGATTTCTATTTCATTGATTGCTATTTCTCTACATTTTATTGTTGGATGATTGTCGTTTCTTCAATTGATTGAAGACACTTTATTGATGCATCGGCACTAATAAGTAAATGGATTTTTTTTTGTCCGAATCAATTTCATCTAAGTTCATACTTAAGAACATGTATGTGATTTAATTTTATAGTAAACAATGATTTGTTTAACAGTTTATTTATGGCTCAGACAGATAGATAATTTTTTTGCTCTGAGTTGGTTGTTTTTGTCTTGAACAATTGTTGTATTGTGGGATTCCTATCTCGATATTAAATATCGCACTATTTTTAACCTCTGATAGTTCCGTTGTTATTTTTCCGGTTTTCTAATCCTCGTTTCTTGATTGTCATTCAGGAAAAAAACTTTTTCTAAATACTTCTCAATTTTTCAATGTACAAATGGCGAATATCGATTGCGAGATTTGATTGTTTCTGTATTAAATTGTACCATTTCCACGTTAAATTGTGAGAGTGCATCCTAAGATGTGCAGCGATTACCTATAACTCTTCGCATAGCCAAGCTAATACGTATATTATTGTTAAGGAACAGAACTTTCTGTCGGAGTGTGATGTATCTAGTGACCGTTAATTAATTATTATTTAGAGATGCATCTCATGATTTCTGTTGGAGGTGCTACAGCCTGAGAGTCTGAAACCCTGACCGCTCTCTACTTTTCTTCCGCTTCGCAGTATCTGTTGGCCAGCAGCCAAACACAAAATGGCGCCGACGAACACCGCCGGAGATAGGATTTGAAGTTAATAAGAAGATTGTTTCGGCACCAACGGGAATGGAAGATTCCCGATTGAATAGGAGATGTTAGTTTAGGAAGAATTAAATGAAGGAATAAATAATGAACGAAAGGAGTAATTGAAGACTCACTGTTTAATGAAATTTCTATGGCTTACAAGATGGCCGATGATCCTATTGGAGATCTGAAGGCGATGGATCCCTCTGAAAGCGATGACGACCAGAAAGCGGTGAATGTCTCTTGAATGCGATATCATGCGTTGTTCAGCTGTGACTAGGCCCGTGCACCGATCTGGTTCCTGCAGCGTCGTTGATGATGGATGATGAAATCCAGTGGCGATGTCAATGAGACGATGGAATCCAGATAGTAGCCAGTGAGATGATGGACCCTTCGGGGGATAATGATGGATGATTCGTTCGTGAGATTATAATAATGATAGATGGAAAAAGGGAGATGAGATATTAAGGGAAAATGGCGATGATAGGTTTGGGGACCATGCGGTCGGGAGATGAGACGCACGCGGAGGTGAAGATCGTATGGCGATTTGAAGGGGAATCCATGGGAATTCGCGTGGCGAGGAAACTTTAAGAGACGGCGATCTTAATTTCCGGAGGTGAATTACTATGGCGCAACAATTTGGGGAGATAGGACGATAGAAGGTGTGCTCGCTTCGTGAGCTGGCGGATAAGGGAACCCAAAAAGGCTGGAAGGGATGGGTTTTTGAGGAAAAAGGAGGAAAGTGTGTTATGGTTGGTGGACTTTCAGAGGATAGGGGTTGTAGATAGAAGGGTACAGTGTACGTCGCAAATGTCTCTGTCACCGAAGCGCCCGAACAGTGTCTTTTACTATTTCTTTCATACATAACTCACCTAGAGAGATTGATTTAACACTCACTCAAATTTTGGTGTTTGGTTGATTGTTGTTTTGGAATTTTTATTTTAAATACTTAAATACCTTGATGTCTGGTTTATTGTTAAGATAATCTCTGTAATATTGAGTACAAGAAAATATAACTATGGGAATCATCGACCTAAGAGAAGTGTTAAAATTTGGAACGGTCAGACCTGAATCGATCCTTTTAATAACCGTCATGCACGTTTAATCGGGCCGTATGCTAATTTCGGCGTGGTCGGCATGCAGCTCTTAAAATAAACGGGTTTATGTTGCGTCGGCGGGTCATTTGCATTGTCATGAACTGTCCGACTCCGGTTTTATACCGCCTCACGTCACGATCTCAAATTGCAGTATGGCACTTACTCATCTACAGATCGGATGCAATTTAAATGGAGGAGTCAGAATCATTCGTCTCCGGTTGGTTTGAAAGACTCCCCAACCTCTTCCCGAAATGGTAATCTCAGACGACCAGCAGAGTTCGTATCAACCGAAGATTCGACTACCGGATGCCGGAAGTATGCAGTTAATTTGGTATAATCTCAATGGAACAGTGTTTTATAAGCTGTAACTTTCTTATGTATGCTTACTGTTGATTTTGGTCCCAGTAGGTCCATGTATGCCTGTTATGAATATAAAGCCCTACTTAGCGGCTACATTATAAATGAGAAGTTATTTTTTAAAACCGCTTCCCCCGAGGAATATCTGGTTCTCTGGAGTGAGAGTTGTCTGGAGTGTTAAAGTAATTTATTAGCGTGAATGGAGTTTAAACCCGCCCCGATGAAATCGAGTAATCTCAGGGAGCGAATGTGACCAGACGTCTTGTTTTAGGAGGTGAAGGGATTCGATCGGGAAATCCAGTACCATGACACCTGATGCGCATGTTTTCGGGGGCGTTTTCTGCCTGCACCTCTACGCATTGTCGATGTTTTTCGTCCGGGGGCATGTCTGCGTTTCCGATGGAGGTGGGAGGGCTGAAAATCTTTGTTGCGTTTGTTTTCTTGTTTTTTTAATATCAATTGTAATGAGAGGTTAACAGTTAAGAAAACAGGAGACCTGCGAGCGAGTCAGTGAAAAATACGCGCGAAAGAAAATAACTTTCAATTTCCATTTAAAGCGCAAAGGGCCGGCAATGACCACTTCATGTTTGTCAGCCCATAAATAATGCATCAAACTACTGCGGTATAACTTTAATATCAACTTAACCATTTTTTTACCGTGCCAAGTCACTAGGGACTGTATTTGCTCTGATTTGGGTAACGTTCAAGATGAGGGATAAACAGGTGAACATATTATTGAAACAGTTGAAAAACAACCTGTTTTATACAACTGTACGCTTCCTGGGTACTCGAAGAAAGCACTGAAAACGTATGGCATGAAGTTGGAAAAAAGCATGAACGCAAAATCTCCGTCCTGATATCACTGAAGAAACTAGTGATTTCTATCTCTTTTGAGTAGCTTCGTGTGTAGATCCGCGTTACTCTCTTTGCAGAATCTACATGTGCCATCTTGGATTATTCCAATCTTCTTTAAGTGTCCATTTAGCTCGCAGTGTCCTGTTAAGAATCCTATTAGGATTCGCAGTTTATTCCTGCTTCCTTTGACACATTCTGTAATTTATTTTCTTCAGAAATTTGTTAGGAGATTCTTGGGTTCTTCTGTGTCCAATGAGTTAATTCCATTGTTACTTCATTTTCTTTTTGTCCGTCTCTCTCAGATACTCATTGATAGTGTGGGTTCCTACGCCACAGAAGGGTTCGGGTCCTATGAGCGGTGTAACAGCTCCTTTTATTGCAAGGGTGCCCGCTTTCTCGTTGCCTTAGCTCCGTGTGGATACGGTATTACTGTTTAATTTTCTCCGCCCATTCGATTTTGTGCTCGTTTAACTAATTTCTTTTCTTTAAACAATAAACGTCTTTTGGTTAAGAATTTTGGCTCCGTCTTACTGCTAGATATATTAATCTAAGTTTGAAACTTTGACAAGGGGGCGTCGGTGGCCGCAATGGTTTAGGCGCTCATAACTGTAAGGTAGAGGTCCCGGGTTCGAATCCTGCGGCCCTGCATTCAAACCCGACTTACTTACAAATGTTTTTTTGTTTTTTTCAAAAACACCGGCACCCTGGGGGTTTATATGACCTCTGCTGTTGCGAACCCTCGTAAATAAAAAACCTATGACAATATTAATTCTTATTATGGCTTCGTATATCCTCCGTATTAGAGTCTGTGGTCTCTAGGAGAGCTTTAAATTGTTCTTCATCAGTATGGGGCTAGGAAGCCCTCGTGTAACGATTGATTAGTCATCTTTATAATAACAATAACCCCCTGACCGCTTTTGATCATTTTAACAAAATCGTATAAACCTATTGTAAACATAGTTCTAAAGACGTGTCCTGAAATATTGAATTCACGATAAATTCCCCTTTCATCAATCACACCGCTTTGCATAATATTATTGTCCAACGGCGAATGGCATATCGAACGGAGCCCATAAACGATGACCCAGTTATGACCTGCGTCCGGCTCCTTGTGAATTTGAGAGAAAAGCTGTTATAGCGGACTAAATCTGGTCTTCAAAAAAAAAATGTCGTTTCTTTCGACGGGGGTTCCTTCAACTTATTCATTCTGATGTGGTGGGGGCTCGACCCACTTTGTTAAAATAAATATGCAAATAAAGCAGATATTTACCGGTGGGCACGCAGCCCTTCGAGCTACACGAGCCAAATGCGGCTATAGTCTCCTGGCAGCAAACCCTGCATTTACAGCTCTAAACAATCTGACGTCGGACCGGCTTAACGATGAAACTTCCCTCCTATTATTTGGCTCGCTTAAACTATAATTTTAAAAATGAAAGCACTTATGAAAATATATCTTATATCGAAAACAATATTTTGAAGATTAAAAAAACGGGTAGAGGGTTATTAAAATGGTACAGACCAATTTTTGTAGGTACACAACAGAATAACAAAAATCATGAAACGAGAGTGAATATTTTTCGATAAGAACAACATCAAAGCCCTTAAATACACAATAAGGTATTGAAATATACTTTTTTAAATTCGAAAACGTCAAATAATGATCACATTGAAACGTTGATATAGAAATGATCAGGAACAATATTTTTTTTAGTGTAAGCGTTTTATAGAGTACTAATGTTATTAGTTATTCTATTTCAAATAGAGTACAAAAAGTAAAACTCTCGTTAGGTTTTGCCACAGATGGAAATTCAGGTTAAACACAACAAAAACTGAGGCAATTCAATTCTCAAAACGACATCTTATACATAGGGGGAATTTATAAGAATCGGTGACTCAAATGTTCCTTGGCGCAATAGTGTTCAATACCGTACATTATCTCAACCAATATCTGACATAAAGTTTAATTAATTGAAATAAGTTATTTGGACAATCGGACCACGAACTCTAATGGATTTAATAAGTGAAATGAAGTATTTCTTCGCTAAAGCTCTCCGTGGCCATTTCATTTGTCGCCGAGAATCGAATAGAGACATTTAAGAAATGGCAAAAAGGAGGAAAATTCGAAGGGTTGTAGGTTGAGATGGGGAGTTGGTGTCCGAGTGGATCGAAGCCACGACAGCTCAAGTGGTAGAGCAGCGGCGTATCTAGCCGAAGATCGTGGGTTCGAATCCCGCTCGTGACACTGACTTTTTATCTCAACCAATACCTTACATAAAGATTAATTAATTAAAATAAGTTATTTGGCCAGTGACCACGAACTCTAATGGATTTAATAAGTTTTCAGTACCTTGGTTTACACCTCAATAGCAAAATTAACGTTAGTATCAACACTCGTAAAAAGGTTGATAATGGGAAGCTTGCTATCAAATCTCTGTTCCCAGTAATGTGTAGAGAATCAGGGATGTTCCTCCAAAATAAACTAATTATATATAAAACCATAGTTAGACCCATGATGTTATACGCCTGTCAGGTATGGAGCTACACAAGTAACACCAATATAAAGTGCTTACAAACAAATCAAAACAAATTTTTAAGGTAAATAACATCCTCTAAAAGAAGTCCTCGAATAAGCCATATGCATGAAATTGTTTTTGAACTTAGTGCTGAGAGTACTAATAAGACATTAAATGTAAGAGCGTGGTCCGCTTGACCAATTAAACATTACAATTAATTAAGGTTTTTAGTTGAGACGAAAAAAAGATAATGGCACGAGAGGGATTCGAAACTCATAAGGTGGGGTTGTGATGGGGAGTTGATGTCCGAGTGGATCGAGGTCACGATAGCTCAGGTGGTAGAGCAGCGGCGTATCTAGCCGAAGGTCGTGGGTTCGAATCCCTCTCGTGCCATTAACTTTTTTTCGTCTCAACTAAAAACCTTAATTAATTGTAGTATATATTCAAAGCCAAGGAGAAAAAAAAGTAGTATATATTTAAAATCAGAGAGTCAGTAACCAGATCGAGACGCTCAATTGGCTGCAGTTTAAAACAAAATACGCGCGAAAGAAGAGAAAAAGAAGGAAAACACGCAGAGGGCCGGCGATGACCTCAGCTGTTTGTCGGCCCATAAACTTCCCACTTTATTATGATAATTTTTCACCATTGTTCTTTATTCCTTAGGCCAAATTAAGAAGAACTGTAAATATATTTAAGTACCCTACCATAAATAAGGATGTATAATGTCCTAGACATTTCTCCTTTTATTCACTTTTTTTACAAAATGTATGTAAAATTATATGTTAAATAAATTCCAAATTCCAGAGTAAAACGCTCTCTCTCTCTCACACATACACACTCTCTCTCTCTCTCTCTCTCTCTCTCTCTCTCTCTCTCTCTCTCTCTCTCTCTCTCTCTCTGAAATTCGTCAAACTCCCAGTCTAATTTAAATTTAACAAATCTTTGGGCGCCAAGAAAATGGATTAAAGGGATAACATTTTTTGTCACTTCATTTATTTGTATCTACAACTGTACAAGCTACCCATCGGCTTTGGATTAATAAAATGATATTAATCATTTATGAGATCTCTTATCCATACTCTTTTCAGACATTTACGTGTTGATTATGAGGAACAGAGTAATAGTATTTGTGTGTTAATGTGATTTTGTAATTTACTATGAAAACTCACGTAATATGTTTTGATGGATGAAGGTCTATGTTAAGTGGGTTATTGGTTACGTAAAATGGGGGCAGAAATAATTAGTCTTAAAGTTTTGGATTGAAAACTTCGTAATCTTTGAATATTGGAATATTTGGCCGATCCATATGCTTAGTACCCGTACATACAAATAGGTTTTGGTAGGTTGTAATAGGTCTGTCGAAAGTTTTGATTTTAATGGTAATTTTGATTGTAAGTTGAGTAGGTAATAAAGCATTTTAAATCGTTTGGTGAGTCTTATTTTAATATACGATATGCTACTAATCGTGTTAAGTGTATATTTTGATGTAGGGTATTGTTTGGATTTGCTGTGAATCTATCTTGCTTTAAAATGGTCGTGTTTTATTGGAGCTGGAAAAGTTTGGTTTTTTGTTGGCTTTGCTCAGGTTTTCCAGGCGGACCCAGTCTCCTACAGGGTTGTCATCGCGGCTTTGAGTTCGACTTTCTTCCCTCCGGTCGTGGAACTTGGCAATGGGAGACCACGGCTCTTTCTTTTCGAAGGTGGAGCTTTCAGCATTTGTAGTCCGATCGTCTTTGCGTCTGTTAACCGCGCCTTCGCGATGCGGACCGAAGACAGAAAGAAACCGAAGGGCCCGGCCGGCCTCGACGGAGCGCTCTTCTTTGACGTAGCTGTGTTCGTAGTCGAGCGGCTCGTCTTTCGCCTCCATCGACGATTCTGCGTTGTCACGTATCAGATCATTTTTTGCGTATCCGTGTTCGACCAGGGTCAAATCTTTCGTATCGCCGACTTTCTTTTTTGGTGCGTTTTGAGTGGCATTTTTGAAAAACCTGGGCTTGAAAGGCGGCGCGGATGGGGAGTCGATTGTGATTTTTGTGAGATCGAACGGACGGCTTTCGAACCCTGTGAGGAGAGGAGGGCTCTCCGTCCTGTCCTCGTTGACCGAAGGTCCATCCATGGCTTCAGTTTCGTCTTTCGGGAAATCCGGGATTCTGTCCAAGGAGTTGTCCAATTCGCTGAATTCTTGCAGAGTTATGTCTTCGAAGCTGTCCATTAAAGTTTCGTCGAGGATGGAAAATTCGCTATTCTCTTCGACAAATTCCTCCGGGACTGAGTTAATTTCTATTTTTCTAATCCTGTTTTGATTCTTTTTCGTTAGCGTTATATTTTCACTCTTGAAATTTTTCAATAGATCTTTGTCGATTTCATCTGGCGCTCTCGTCTTTTCAGCCTCCTTGGATGTATTTTCTGAAATGTTAACAGGAAACTTGGCTTTGTCCAATGTGGGTGTCTCGTCCTCCCAGACGTATTTCACACTTTCGACGGCTCTTGCACTTTGCTTTTCTTGCATTTCTTGATTATCAATTGATAAGTCGTGTTTTATCAGATCCAAGTTTAGTGCGTCCAGCTGCGCTTTCTCGTCGGCATTATTCTTCGAAGACAATTTCATCAAATCTTTTTTCAATTCCACTAAATACGTTTCTTCCGATTGTTTGACTTCTTTCATCTGTTTGTTTCGGACCTTAATCATTTCTTGTTTTAAGTCCTTCTCTACCCTGTCTATCAATTCGGGTTCTCTGTTTTCTTTTGGTAGATACTGCTCAAAATGAGCAGTGTTGGCGAGACTGGGCCAGAGTTCTGACCTTTTCTTTTTTTCCTGAGTAAAATCGCCGAAAGGACTGTCGAGGCCGGGAAGGTATTTCTTTTGTATCTGAGGAGAGACGATGGCCTCTTTCAGTTCGCTGATCTTGTTACAGACGTCTTTTACTATCGTCTTCCCGTTGCCCCTTTGGAACTGAGAGTAGGGTTTGGTCAGTCCCGGGAGTCTATTTCGTTCTTCCTTGTCCGTTTTTGTCGGCTGAAATTGAATCGATTCTGAAAATTTCTTTTTATACTTTGGGAGTTCGGCCATCAGCAGTTCATCTGTGAGGGGTTGTATTTCGATTGTAGGATGGTAAAGAAGTGCTTCACGCCCTCCGACCACGTTCTGAGGGCTCGGCCGAGGTGCCCAAACCGCGTGCCTCTCGTGGGCTGAGGATGGATTTCTTGAGATGTTCGATCCGTCCCCACCAACGTGACGAAAAGTTTCGGCGACTCTTTCTGTCCGCCCACCAATTTCCTCTCCAGGCTTAACCGCATTCTGGCTGCTATCTGTTCGACGCGCAGCGCTGCCCCAAGACAAGCGATCTGGCTCATGATCTTTATGCTTGATATTGCTCCTGAAGGCTGGACCTCCTCCTGTAGGAATAGAATTGGCATTATTTCCCATCTTCTATCCGCATCACGCTGAAAACGTACAAGCAAATGTCTACAGTTGTGAAATATGAAAATGAACAATAGTCTGGCTACTTGCTTACTCGTACTATCGAAGACGGCCGTCCGAGGACGTTTGAAGAAGGCCTTTCCTGGGATGTGGTCGCTTTTTCAGTTTGTCCTGCGGCACATCCGTCGTTCATCGCGTGATCCTATTTCCCAGTCGAGCGAGGAGACACCCTCGGTGACCTGCGTCTTGCGGCTTTCTACTTCTATAAAATAAAAGTGAACAGCGCTGGTCTGTTCAACATGTGCATTGGCCGAAAGGAAATTGAATTTAAACTGTTGAAAGTTCAGAAATCGTGTTTTAAAAATTAAGGTGAAAAAGTAAATAACATATGAGCGTACTGATATAAAATCTCCGTTCGGAACGGAGCGGCCCAGCCCGTTCTACAGGGGAGTGGGTTCGATGCTGAAGGAGAATATCACTATTCAAGGGAAGGAAAGTTACAACCTTCCACTGGGTGTGGAGCAACAAAGATATCGACCGGACCGGCCGTCCAGATAATCCACATCGGCTAAGCTTATCTCGGCCGCCTCGACCCAGCTAAGCCGAGATGAAATCACGGAGTCATCTATCTCAGTAGCTGCGTGTCTGAGCGCGGTCACGCGAGTAGTGACGTAACGGCCGTTACCTCATCCCCTTTGTTGTTTTTAACGACCACACCCGCCCCTAGGCGAAAAGGCGTATGATTACGGGCCTAAAGCCGATAGAGGCTAATGGATCCTCTGAGAATATTGCGCTGATGCTATGGCCAGCCGGACCAATTTATTCTACCTAATAATTTACAACTTTTTGCCGGCCGAAGTCAAGTCGTGTCGTTACACGAAAAACATCGCCTGCCCTTCATTAAAAAACCGGCCCTAAATTCAGAGCCTCGGTTCGAAAGGTCAAAATCGGCAACCTTTCCCGTTGAGTTTTCCCGCATTGTCATCTAGATATGTGTCATTCCAAATATTGAAACCTTTCGAATGACCTTTCAGCTACAAGGGAACAGTGTCAAAATCTTCCGTCGGCACATCCGTTTTTTTCTATTCCGATATTTTACGTGTTTTACGTTTTCATTTTATGTCAGGTTGACTTCTTCAACACAACCATGCTTACGAACGTAACATTAGTTCAAATTAAGCGGTTTTTCAGTACGCATTTTCGGTTTTTGTTTTTGGTTTTTATTCGGCATATCCTGAGGGTCCGGGATACCACGGCCGTATTCGGACTTATCCTGGCTCTATCACTCTTCCAGAAGTCTTTCCTTGGTTACTTACTTTACCTCTTAGACCAAGAATTATCCAATCCACCCTATTCAAATCCTCTTTCCACTCCTGCAATACACGCTCATCTCCCTGTGGCCTAATCCTTTCCCGGCATAAAACATGCACCTTTAAACGGTTTTTCTTTGACCGAGCACCAAAATTTTGGAACTCCCTCCCCCTAAATACCCACAATGCCCTTACCTCTTTTAAACATCTTTACATGCACCTCCTCTCCCTCCAGAGTCTATTTAACCACAATTTTAAATTTACTCAGTAATTATTATATTTCTATGTTAATTTTCACAGTAACTCATTTGGATTTTGTTTATATAGTTCGTTGTTATTATTTTGATCACCACGACAAGGTTTATTTTTGTGTCAAAATATTAATCATTTTAACTTTAACCTATGGTTTATTCTAAGGAGACACTCCTTTAACAGCTATTTTTTCTTTCTTTCATTTTCGAAACCCCAGTAATTCTAGTTTAACCCAAGACCCGTTACTTCAGAAACTATTACAGATTTTGACCAATTTTCACAGGTATTTTATTTATTTTAAAATACCAAATATTGCATAGAGGGTTCTTGAAAAATTAAAAAATAAATATTTTATGACCAACACAAAATTACATGTTTTTTTCTTTTCTTTTCAATGGATTTGTGATCAGATTAAAAGAGTATCTGTGCAAAATAATATCTAATATCTGGAAAGTAATTAACAAAAAAAGTCGAATTGGTACAATAGATTCTGAAATAATGGGTTATATGGGAAAAATCTTAACTTTTCAGGATAGCGACAACTTTGAAATAGAAACAGTCTTTTTTGACGATTTTAGGTTTATTACTTACCTATCGATAAGAAGAAATATTTTCCAGGCTTTCGAATGCATTTCATAATGCATTTCTGAATTCCTACAGCCAGGTAATCTCAATAAAACCTCTTCGAAAACATTTCACATTCGCAAGAGTTTACTCTTGATTTTAGTCCCTTTTTTCGTTTTATAATAACTCGTGCTTATACACAAAGGACTACGTCAATGTAAATATGCATATTTTAATCTCATTTTGTTCCTTTAAATTCTACAGTTGAAAAGGCGAATGCTAAAGGAATTTAAAAAAAAAAAAAAACGAAAATCGTATTCCGTATTTTTGTGGAACTCGCCTCAAAGCGCTCAAAGAATGGATGTTAGTTTTTCTTAAGTTAGGGGAAATCTTGCTAAAAAGCTAATCGTCCATCTTCAAGCCTATGAAAAATGCATGTTCCTGATAGTGTTTAATGTTGAATTGTCCTGAAAATAGGCGATGCGGGTAATAGGCAAAGGTGCTGCTGGTACAGGGCTATTACGTGAATTGAAAAAACTTGCCACCGCCTACAAGTTTCAACATTCAAACAGCCGTCGTCATGGCTGTCGAAAAATAATGGATTCGCCTCTGAAAACCCTAAAAAATCAGTGTAGAATGGGAAAACCATCGGAGGGAAAGGTCGACGAATATGCTATTGTTTATTTATTCCATAAAATTAAAAGTTGCAAAATTAAATTATGATAAACAAAAGGAAAACCAACGCGAACTCTTCGTTACTTTGTTCTCACCGTTCTGATAAATAGAAGAAAAAGTATGTCTTGTTTTTAACATGTAGGTATGGTTTTGTTTGTTTCCGTGAATCGGTAATTGAGCGAATAACAGTGGTAAGAATTAGCCGTGTTCGTCTTCGGATGCCATCAGGAAGAAAGCCGTGTGATACACTTTAAACCCGAGGGGAATGTTCCGACGGAGAAGGTAAATTGAGCTCGGAACACGCGAGCTTTACTGCGGCTCACTAAAGCTCACCGGAAACGAGATAAGCTTTCGGTGAATATTGAAAGGTGCTGAGCCAATTTTACCACCGGGCGAATAAAAAGAGAAAAAATCTAATTCCCCCGATTCTTCGTCCTCTGACATTTAGAAAGAAAAGAAAGCTCGTGGAATAACGACCCACAAGATTTCGTGCGGGATAGAAGATTTGTGCGATATCATTAACTCCGGCCACGAGGGCAATTTCACCGTCGGCGTGACCGTTATTTTTCTGTTTTGTCGCATAGACAAAGGGCAGTTCAAATTGGACTTGTCCCTTCGAGCTCAGCTCTTAAATGATTGGTAATTTGGCCGAGTAACTCTGTAACTCCGTCCTTCCCGTAGCCAGGCTAAACCGAAATGTTTTATTTTCGAAATTTAAAAAAAGAAAGTTTCCAAGCTCAGTACGTGAGATGCAGACTGTGCCCAGGTGTGCCAAAAGTAGTTTGGCAAGTTTTGAGAAGCAGGATATTCTCTGTAAAAGAAATAACCCTCCGTATACTCGACCAGAAAAAAAACTTAACGAAAACAATCGATAGATTGCAATTCAGAAGAACGATAAGACACCGAACTGCGAATTTTCCGATTTTTCTTATCAGCCGTTAAGTTATGAACCTAGAATAAAACTCATAAAATACACTGATTGACAAAATAAACGCACCATCCTTAAATTTTAATAGATTTAGGTTTATTGATATATTTACCATACCAAAAATAGTTTCGGTTGTAAAAATAAGACATTTAAAACGAAAATGTTTACCGAATTCTTTAAAAAAATATTGAATATTAAAACAACAGACAATTAAAAAACAAATAAAAATGTTTAAAAAACTTTAGTATTTCCAACGCTGGCACGAATCACGTTCGTTAAACTCGTTTGCATTCCTTGGAAAATATTTCTGATAAAATCCTAAGGAATTCTTTCCAATTCATCAAGTACAGCATTTTCCAACTTTTCTAGGGTGTTAGGAGCGGGGTTTCTCCGTCGTACTCGTCGCTTAAGTTGGTCACAAATGTGTTCGATTGGGTTCAAATCTCAACCTCATTCAGGTAGTCCACAGTACGTGTTTTAAGGGACCTGGCATTATCCTGCATTAGCAAGTATCTGTCACTGATGTGGGGGGATGGCATTACATGTTCTTCGGTTATGTCTCGTAAGTTCCTCGGTGAAGTTAGAGATCTTGCACAAAAACCAATTGGTGCGGGCTTCCAAGGAAATGCCGCCCCATCAATGCCACCTTACTCCTCAGCGTCACCATATAAAATTATGCCCATCTGAAGATTTAAGTCGGTACGGGCCCTGAGCTTATTTTCATTGAGCCTTCTTCTTACTGTCCTGGAGGAAATCGAAACATTTCGGACTTGTCTTATCCGATTTTTGATCTCATTTCCCCCAATGCTGCGGTTTCGTAGGGCCTGATGACTGTTGAATCTGTGGCCTTTCTCGCCTGTCGACCTAGGTCGGCCCTGTCCTGGCCTTCTAGTGTGAAGCCTTGTTTCTCTGAATGGGATTAATCTGTACAAAAGTAAAGAGAGGAAGTAAACAAAGCATTATTTACTGTTTATTTTGACTACGATAGCTGCCAATTAACCTTTAACTAATGTAGAAAGATAATGGATTTAATTTTAAACTAAATAAATTGAGGGGGTGCGTTAAATTTGTCCATCGGTGTATTTTCCGGTTTCAGGAATACAAGTAATAGATCGATTAGTTATCGCTGTAATTTTGTACATAGAAAAAATGTAATCGTTGTGGCTGTGATCTGAATCGTGAGGAAACTGGTACTCGACAGTGAATTTTCCGTCAGATCGATATCTGCTGTTGGTATTAACCACCTTAATTAAACGGTTTACCGATGTCAAATTGCCCTGATTCCGTCAGAGTAACATAATTTATGTTTATGCATAAGTAAAACACTTGGTATCAAAAGAATCACGATGAATAACGGATAAGTAAATGTTTAATGATTTAAGTTGTAGAAAAATGAATTTATGAAATTATGTTTTCATATATAGTGCACAATGAAATAACGTCTTTTTACGTTAAGTGTTAAACAGTACGACTAAGTAGACGCGTCGGCGACCGATAATTTTTTTGTTCAATCTGTGTGTTTATATTGTTTTTACTACTAAAAGAACACTGGTCGCTGTTGATAGGATGTTCGAACGTTTGTAAAGAACTTTGTTACACTTATAATTAACATTTACCTTACTGAAGGTCTGAGCTTAGCACATTGTGTCTCCTGAGAACAA